TCAAAAAAATGATGTAGTGTATTGTGAAAGGTTATCACAACTCATCACATAATCACGAAAAAAATGTAAAATTTCATATCACGGTTAAGTACTGCCTAGCATCTTATATTTTTGTAAAAACATTCATCAAAACAAAATAATAAATTTGTCAGACGCCAATATAATGAAAATGTTGCTAGGCATAAAAAATATTTTACCCCATTTTTTCTTATTACTATTTTTTTAAAAAAATACATATTGAAAAAAGTACATACCTACTGCCAATAGTCCCATTCACATATAAATAGGTATTTTTATTTGCCAAATATTATTAGGGTTTCTTTTTTTTATAGTATGGGGTGACAAATGAGCACACAGTCCACCTGATGGTAAGTGGTTACTGTGACCCATAGACATCTACATCTATCCTCAATAAAGACTCAAGATGCAGATGCATTGTCACACGTGAGGACTAAGATGGAATGCTTCTTTGCCAGTAAAAAGGGTCTCCGGTTCTCTACACTCACCATATGAAACACAGCAGTGTTACGCTGCTATTTTACACTGGTTTTCTGTGAGAGCGTGGTCGTTCCCCGGTCGAGTTGACCCATTCGTGCTACAGCTATACTACTAATATAGCTGCAGCATCGCACTACCACTTAAAAATAAATTTATAGGATTTTTGACAGAGTGTAATGATTATGGTAATTATTATTTTTACACTACGAGTATAAAGGCAAAATTATTATAAAATCATAGTAAATGTGCAGCTTATTTTTAAATTAAAAATAAAGAGTACTATATACAAAGTGTAATTGATGAATTGTTCTTAAACTGTTTATTATCCTGTGTGAGTAAGATTAATGATTTTTTCTTAATAAATATTATTTTCAGAGTGTAAAACCATCACCAACTATTAAATTTAACATAGCAAATGTCTTGGCTTCATATGCATTTATTATGAGGTATTTCAATGGTGAGATAGAACCCATTGAAACAGTCACACTTTTGTTGGATATTTGTACAAATCTTAGCTCTAACTGCAATTTCAATGAGTATGCTACAGCAGTGGAATCAGTGGCACAAAAGTGTCTTCAGGTATTTTTCATGAATTTTATTGTTTTATTTTTATACCTCTATGAATCTTATCTCACATGATAATATCTATCTCACATGACTCTAGGAACATTCTAATAAATATGATGTTTCATCTCAGGTCAGAGGAGCCTTATTTCAAAATTGTTGTAAATTAGAAAAAAAATCACATTAAAACGCGAATTTTTTTTTAGTGAAGAAATTTCATATGGCCTGATCGTTCAGTTAATATTTTTTACTATGAAGATTGTGAAGTAGTTAATATCAATCACAACAACTTATAGTAGTTTGAAATGCATAGGATATGTATCAAAACTGCAAGTGCCGATCAATATAATTATTAAAATGATTTGATATTAGCTGCAGCTAGGATTGGAACCCAGAACCTACAAAGCAGTAGAACAGCTACTACTAGGTAACTTAAGGGTAAAATAAAAAATTAAAATGAATATTTGTTGACTGAATTGTTTAAAGAAGTCTCAGACCAACATGATAGACAGAGTGAGTACAATTTAAAATTAAAAAATTTTGTACAACATACTTCAATATAAATTATTAAGAATAACTCAAAAAATATTGGTCAGACCTTGGTTTGGTGCATACATAATATAATTGCTGCAACAACATTTTTAATTATGTAGGACTGTTTTGTATAAAATAATTATATGAAAATTCATTAGCTACTTGTAAAGAATATTAGGTTTACATTTGGGTAATGTATTTATTTTTTTCCTGGTTTGTAATTTTATGTACTCTATCTTATTCTTTTGGTCTGAGTTGGCTTTTTTTTTCTTCAAATTAATTGTTATCGGCGCGGATTTTAAAATATAACGTTTTCCTTTCAGAGCAAATTTATAGAAACAGACGATGTGAGTCTTGAAGTAATGAAACATGATACACTGCTGATGATAAAGGGACCTAGTGATCAGAAAAATACATACTACTGCAGGGCAGCACTCTCTCACATTATTGAAATATTCAGTCAAACCATATTACTATTAAAAGCTTCAAAAACGAAAGAAACCAAGAACACACCGAGTAAAGGGACATTTTCTAAAAAGTTTCCAGACCACAATAAGGATTACTTGCCCAAATTAGACATTAGCAATTTGAAGAAAAGCATCAAGAAGGTGGAGTTTTATTTGTCCTTTGTTGAAAGCTGTGATATTAACTTAACTCAAATTATAGCTAATAAGAATGTATGATATAAATAAAAATCATTTTTACCTTTAACCTCATAATTTATTCCAACAAGAATTGTAATAAGAGGAATGTCCAAATACATTTATTGAATAATAATCATAACATACAATAAAAACACCATATAACAACGCTGTGTTGCCAGTAACCAACAAACTATATTATGAAAATAAAAATTAAAAATGTAGCATTTATTAAATAGGAAAACAATGCAATAAACATAAACTTTATGCTAAAATATTATTCAGAATTACGATCAATTAAGTTTGGTTAGTCAATTTGTGAATGGTTTTATTAAACCTGAAAATACTACAAAAATTATTTTAAATTTTCATGTTTGCATAAAAATATTTTTGAATAATGATAAAGAATTAATCGTTTCATCATAATGAACATAGTTTGAAATGAACATCACTGTAAGTTGTAATTATAATGCAAAGTAATATAATATTTGGATTATTTGAAAACAATCTAAAGCAACTTCAATTCTCTCTGGATTTGTTTGAAATTTTTATGCAACTATTGTTAACTTATAAATATATTATCTGTTAACTATTTGTAGAGACACCTTGTTAGGTAACTTAAAAGATAGTTAAAGTGATATCATCTTTCTCTTTGAAGTTAGTTAAGAATATAGAATTCTTTAGTGAAAATATAACCTAAAATCAGTAATTAATAGTACAGTAAAGGTACATTCCTTGGCTTATATTATTATTGTATAATATCTATAATTTTAATAAACTTACAACAGGACACCAAGTAACAATTTCACTGCATCTAACTACTTAATAAAATCTACTTACTACAGTAATTTCCCTACCATTTTATAATAAATATAATACATTACGTACATACATACACGAAATAGATTTCTTTCAATTATTATTAATCATTTCAATAAGTATACTTACATTGTACATGTTATCCGAAGCAATGTAAAGAATAAAAGCAATGGTAGACCAGGGGTAAAGCGCCCGCAGTAAATTTCACAGTAGGCGAGTTTCGATCCGCGCCGGCACCAACGAAATTGTTATTCGAAATGTAGTGCTAATTTAACAAGTGCTCGGCGGTGAAGGAAAACATTGTGAAGAGACATGCATATCTTAGAAATAACAATTTTTGAGGACATTATATGAAGTCCAAAATATACTGGAGCAGGCGGTATAATTATTCCGTACCTCTCGGATATGATAGGAGAACAATGCCCAACATTATGACGTATACAGGCTAACTGTTCTACCTTAATTTTTAAAAGTCTGTGATTATGATAACAGACATGTTTCTAGCTATAAACACTCTGTCAAAGTTTTTACAATATGGTAAATTATCATTAAAGCTTCGTTCAAAATGAGGCAAATCCCGCGTGGGACGGGGGACGCGAATCTACGCGATTTCATCGCTTGCTGGTTAGCATTTCAAAGTGAGGCGAATCCCGCACGTCATTATTTTTGGTTTCTCAATAGGAAAACATGTATTTTGACGTGCATTAACTGAGGAAGAATCTCAAAATGTGAGGAAGTAACGAAAAAAATGGGTTCACAAGTTGAGTACTTAACGCATAGAATTTGGAGTTTCAAAAAAATATTTTTTATATATTTTCATATGCCAGAAGAATGCTATAACGAAATTCAAGGTTCAATCGCATTTCGAAAAATCAGAAACTATCCCGCGTATATCTCGCTGAAACACGTACGACTATTCGTGCCAATGTGAACACGTCCATACAAGTTAACTGACGCAATCGGCGCGAGCGAATCGCGTCCCGCGTCCCGCGCTGGATTCGCCTCAATTTGAACGAAGCTTAAACCTCAATGAAGTCGATTACATTATATTTAGACATCAACTCTATATAAAACAATTACAAACTTTTGAAACATCAATAAGGCTTAGGTCGATGCTTTTTGGTGCAGATAATTTTTTTTATCGTTAAACACTGATAACATGAATAAAGTACGAATAGTGTGAACACATTGTACCAAGCGATAATGGTTTTACTGCATTATAATAACACAACCTATAATAGCATAACATATTTAAACTTTATCTTCGCTGTATAGGTCTTTCGTTTGGCTCTATTAGATCACTGTTAGTCAAAAATTACAATTTTACCAAAAAATATTTTTTAAATCACTTTTATTGATATACACTTTTATTTTTTTATGTATAGGAACATTAGGTTCATAATTGCTTCAATATAATCAACGGATAATTAAATCACTTGTAATATTTTAAATATAAATAAAAAGCCTCATGTTATTGATATCAAGTAAAAATGGGAAAAATGCCATCGTTGCGGAACTTTTACTAAACTCTCCTAATATCTCTAAACTAGCAACATTGCTTGTGATACTGACGGAAGTGTTTACATATTGTCTTTTTATTTTTGGAATTATTACTTTATGACAGTTGTTTGACATTTCTATTAACCTACCCATTTTTATTGCTCCCGAAAGAATTTCAATCTATATACCCCCCTCATTAATAATAATTATTTTAAATAAATAATACTCTATTTTACAATCTTCCACGACGCATAATTGAAAGGTTCATATTAACTAATAAATCTTGAACATTTTCAATATAAATGAATACGAATTGGATTGAAATTTCATGAGGCATTTAATAAATCAAGCAGTATACCTATTTGAATTTATACATTTGAAAATATAGATTGTCAGGTGAGTTTTTCTATTTTATACTTTATCTTAAGTTACTTTAGGTACATTTTAATATGGTATTTGATTTTGATAGTATTGTATCATATCGTAAGTCCTAGTTCTAAAGTTTAGGAAAGAGTTCCGTATGACTGAGAGCATGTACGCGGCTGCTTCCTTCTCTGTCGAGTTGGGCGCGAAACGAGAGCGAAGAAGACGTATTGTCTGACCTCGGAAGCACGGCAAGCCGGTGTCCAACATAAGCGACACCATGGAAATTATTGCTTCTTGGTACGGTCTAGAAAAAATTACACACAATCAACAAAGTATTGCAAATAAATATAAAACATCTATCACTATTGAACGTGTTGTCCGCACATTTCTTACGTGGTAGAGCCATGCTGCAGCTATATTAGTAGTATAGTTGTAGCACGAATGGGTCGGCTCGACCGGGGAAGGACCACGCTCTCACAGAATACCAGCGTAAAATAGCAGCTTAACACTGCTGTGCTTCGTACGGTGAGTGTAGAGAACCGGAGACCCTTTTGAGACTGGAAAAGAGGCATTCCATCTTAGTCCTCACGGGTGACAACGCATCTGCATTTTGATTCGCAAACGAGGATAGATGTAGATGTCTATGGGACACAGCAACCACTTACCATCAGGTGGACTGTGTGCTCGTTTGTCACCCTATCCTATATAAAAAAAAAAAACATTCTATCTCGGCCGGGCCGAAGTTGGCTTTCCGAGAGACATTCGCGCATGTACAGACGGTAGTCAATAGAGATGTACCACTTCATATTCGCTACTAAGATTGCTTAGGGAACCAGTTCGTTTTGTCTATATCGATTATAGAATAAAATTTATAATGAAAATATCTTTATGTATTTCAATAAAACAATAGTATCTAATAAAAAATTAAGCAGCGGGGTCAACAAATTCTTTCAGTAACCCCAAAATAATATAACTTTAAATTTTCAATAAAAACTTTAATGCACATCATAATCACTTTTTTTTTTAAAACGACATATTGCATTTACACACCAATTAACCATAAAAAATATAAACGAAAATCGAATCATAATCGATAACAACACCGATTATTTACGTAATTGTAACCGCGCAATATGCGTATTCGCATCTCTAGTTTTAGTTACCGCCCACCTTTCCACTCCTCTTGTCATCATTTTATCTCTAAAACCCATGAAGCAAATACAAAGAGGAGACGTTGTAATTAAATTTCACTATGTAACAACGCGTGACAATTTGCGGGGTGAGGGGATGCAAAGCCCCGCCCACTTTACACTATCTACATCTACCGATAAATAGTAAAACTACTCGAATCTTTCCATTTCGATGTAGCTTAGCTACTTTGACGGTAGATGGCGGCATGTCCACAAAATGTTATAAACTATAAAAATAATATTTTGGCGATTAAAATTTCTATATGTCTGAATGCAAAACAAATTTCAGCACCTTCGTATGATTATTTTATCATTACTGAGCTCTACGTACCTTTATATTTTTAGTTCACAGGACACAAAGTGTCGCCATCTAGTGTGGAATATATTTAATTATATTTGAAAGCCGACGCAGAGATTTTTCTAGAACTATTTTAATAAATTATGTGTAAAATTACTTACAAATGAAATGTGATGCCATCCATAGCATCGGAGCGTCATGAATCTCATGAAGCAAATACATTCAGACAAAGAAATTTTAATCGCCAAAATAATATTTTTATAGTTTTCATAATAATTTTGGGAACAGGCCGTCATCTATCGTCAAGTAAACCTCATAAAAAAATAACAAAAAGACAGGGCCGCAATTGGAATTAAATCATTTTACCCAGTAACCCAACATTCAATATTAAAATGAAGGAAATTGTACTTGGCTGATTTTTACGAAATGTTTAAGTTATATTTAAGTGACATTCTATATGCAAAGAATCACTTAAATACAATTTAAATATGTTTATCATTTCGTGAAAGTCAACATTCAAGAAATATTTATTTTATCCATAAAATAAAGTCTCTTTGAAACTAAATATTCTATGTTCAATATGAAGTAGGATATTTAATTTGGAACTAAATATCCTACTTATCTGACTAATATTATAAAGGCGAAATTTTGTATGTTCTTTCTGTCTCCTTGAGCTTATTCCACACTAAGTATGTGTAATTTTTTCACGCAGAAACGGCTGGACTATTATTTATGTGTGGGTTATACTACTTAATATCTCTGAGGGAGAACAAATAATAGAAAAATTATTATAATTAATACAATTTTATTTACAAATCAATTAAAATATAAATATTTTATTCCAAATTAGGCATCCGAATGCACTTTTTGAATGCCAATCTAAGAACATTAAATTGTATTTAAGTGATTCTTTGCATATATAATGTCACTTAAATATAACTTAAACATTTCGTAAAAATCAGCCTAAGTACAATTTCCTGCATTTAATATTAAAAGTTGGATTACTGGGAAAAATAATTGAATTCTAATTAGGGCCCTGTCTTTTTGTCATTTTTATGAGGTTTACTTGACGAGAATACGGCCTGTTCTCAAAATGATTATAAACTATAAAATATTTTGCGATTAAAATTTCTTTATGTCTGAATGCAAAACAAATTTCAGCACCTTCGTATGATTATTTTACCAATGCTGAGCTCTACGGACCTTTATATTTTTAGTTCACATGACACAAAGTGTTGCCATCTAGTGTCGAATATATTTAATTATATTTGAAAGCCGACGCAAAGAGATTTTTCTAGAACTATTTTAATAAATTAGGTGAAAAATTATTTACAAATGAAATGTGATGCCATCCATAACATCAGAGCGTCTATCTGAGTAGTTCTTACACAATAAAACACAACACTTCATCCTTTTCTTCTCAATACTACGAAAATACACCGATTTGCGATTTTTTCAACACATAAGCGCACAGGACGAATGCTGACAGTATACTAACTAAAGCCACGCCCACTATGATGACGTCAGGACCTACTTAGAATCACAGTGCACAGATGCTTATGCCGTCTCCCCTTAGTATTAGCTTCATGCTAAAAACCATGGAGTATAGCGTAGAAGGAGAACCATCTCATATGGTAGGAAAGTTAAAAAAAGTGTCCAACTGTATACTGAAAATAGAGGATCCAAAACCTACCACAATAGCGCTGGCGTCTGAAAAAGTACGATATGAACATAGCTGTTGTAGACGGAGTGAAATGTGCAGAGTTCAAATATTTAAAAATTTTCATGACTACAGTAATTAGTAAAATGCCAATATACAAAACCTCAACTATTTACGTAGTCTAAAATAATTAAGTATATATAACCAAACTATTTTTAAACTATTTTTAAATAATTATTAGTGATTTATTATTATATATTTTTATTTTTAACTGAAAGAAGCGAAAGAGATATGTACGGATCGTGACACTTGGCGATCTGTTCTCTCTGGCTACCCCGTCAGGGATTGTGCGTGAAGATAAGTAAGTAAGTAGTAAGTGATTTTTATATATATTTTTATTGTGGTGATAGTTATAAAACGTTATAGATTAATTGAAAAATAATGGGAAGAAATTGTATTGTGAAAAGTTGTCAAAATGGACGTAAACTAAAAGCTATAAAAAATGGTTCGCCTCAGCTTTTGTCTTTTTTCCGACCTACTGTATGTTGAGTAATTTATTTTCAATTATTTAATTTACGACAAGCTGATTGATAAATCGAATTTAAAATAATTCAATCCATGCAAAGTAAATATTCATATAGTATTTAACTTCTTGCTTATTTCTCCATCTTATTCTAATTACTTTTGGCACTTTTTTTTAAAATTTATCCTATGCTACCGCAGCGCCACCCTTATTGGACGCGTTTTTACGGACACTTATTTATATATAGAGATGATCCTCCTTTTACTCTATACTCCATGCTAAAAACTATACATTCGCGACTAACTTCAGCCCGGCCAAGATAGAGCGCGCGGACTTTACTTATGATCGTTGATTATCGCTTACTTATACCAAATTTACCTAAGAAAAATTATCTCTATACCTGTCTGGATTATTTATTATAATTGATAAGAAATTAGAGAAATTTTACCTATTTCGAGGTAAGCTAAACAAATACAAAAAATCTGTCTACATCCGCTCCGGATAGGCGAAAAGGCACTAATTACACTAATATGCTATGATACCTAGTGTTAATTTCAAACTAATATTATCTTCGTTACAGCCTATTTTGTAGCTAATTCTGAACTTTTTAGGGGTGATCAATTCTGTAACTCACTTTTAAAATCCCTTTAAAGTAAGTTGCAGAATTCAGTCTTTGAAAAGTAGTTAGTTCACTAAGTGGTAGGATACTTTTCTGCCTGGAAGTCAGTCGGGGTAGGTGTAGGTATTGCTTGCACTGCTTCGAAGGGTCTCAAGAGCCAGTATATTTACAGGCTGTGAGGCATTCAATCTTGGTGCTAGGTGACTCTGTATCTGCAGACTTCTTTTTTGTTTGAAGTTTTTCAAGCAAATGTCCATGGCTGCAGTAGCCACTTACCATCAGGTTGATTGTTAACTCATTTGTCACTTCCATTTAATAAATTTGTATTTTTAATGAATTAAATGTTGCGGGATTTGTACGCGCGGTACTGCAGCCAAAACTCATGCGAACTGTACTGCCGAACCATCATGATATGACATTTTGTTATTTGTTGTTTTTATACAAAAAAAAAAAATATTTTATCGTTATTGTCACACTTGGCAGTTGTAGCACCAGACAGCCCGCGCCTTTGATTTTTTTTTTGGTTTTGCCGGTCTCCACATTTTGCAATATAACATGTATGAGATGGTTAACTTAACAAAAGTCAAAATTTATAAATAAAAACATTTAAAAATAAAAATAAAAACCTCTTAAAAGGTAAAATCTTACCTAACAGCTAAGAAGGCCTGTACACATAGCTCGCAGAACCAGCGGAAAGGCGGCGCCTCCATCTTACCACCCATTACCATCACCATCTCGTCAGTCAACTTGATGTCTGGTTCAAAACCCAAGTTACCACCAGGGGAAGACTCGAACATAAAACCAAAATCTGAAAATGAAAATGTGTATATTACAGTGAAGCAACTTCTGCAATTCGTGAAAAGCGTAGGGCTTAGGATACACTATAGCAACGACTACAATAGGTAATAAAGATCTTGCAAGACTTGTATGCAAAAAAATGTCGATCCATTGTGTCATTTACGCTAGGTGTACTGCCGATATCTTTATTGCGATTTCTATTATACAGGGAATCTTCGAACAATGCTGTTGCAGAGCGACTTTCTCATCCAGCCAGCAGCGAAGATCGTTTCCTAGTTCCATGGGTGACTCTAACACACGAATGTTACTAGGTCGAATTGGATAGTTTACCTTAGTTTGTCTTACTAAATATTATCGCGTTGAACTTAAAAGAATCTCACCGATATGTATAATGTGTCCGTCTGTATCAAGCATAATATTCCCGTTGTGTCTATCCTTTATCTGCAGAAGGAATCCAACGACGCTGTAAGCCGCCATTGACGTCACGAAACACCTTCGCGCAGCCTGAAAGAATAGAAATAAATATGATGAAGCTGAGTTCAGTTCTATTTTGATACAAGGAAAGTGTTGTGATCTTTATGTAATCTTCTATATAAATATAGAGGTTTGCAGTTGCGCGCATCACGGAAAAACTACTCGATAGATTTCAATTAGGTTTTCTAAGTTTTATTTCCTAGACACTTGGCCCTTATCTAAAAAAAAATCCATTTAATATAAAGTTATTAAAGTTTTGAGAAACAATTATTTTCAGAAGCGCTATGTATATATAGCTCGAAGAACCGACAACCGATGGGGAAAAAAGGTTCTCGAGTGGCAGCCTCGTACCAGTAGGCGAAGTGTAGGGCGACCCCCCACTAGATGGTGTGACGACCTGGTGAGACATGCAGGAAGTCGATGGATGCAGGTGGCTCAGGACCGTGCTCTGTGGCATTCCTTGGGGAAGGCCTATGGTCAGCAGTGGACTTGTGAAGGGCTGTAATGATGATGATGATGATGATGTATACGTGTTTAGTTATGTGTTTTCTTGATATATCAAGCAACGCGGACGAATTTGTATGTGAATGTAAAATTGTGATCTTTATGTTAATATGTGAAGATAAAAATTTGTACCCCTTTTTAAGCATATTACGCGCCGTGAGGAGTGATATATTTGGCACATTTAAAGTTTAGATGAAGCAGTGAGTAATTTTTTTACATTCATACTGTCACTGTCAAACACCTAATAATTCTCTCTTGGACAAATTATGACGTTTGTTGACGTTCCGCTGCTATTTTCTCATATTATGAATGTTACTACTTTAAGGCCAATGTCAAACACTTAATAGTCTGTGGTCAAACAATTGTGCAGAGTATAGATCAATAGTGTGGTGAGATCAAGGCAAAAAGCGTTTATTTTATATTTTGTGTAATTATACATAAATGTGCAGTTGAAAGTGAAACACAGCTTGCTTAATGTACAAACCTAAAAAAAGTAATCAATTGCAATCGAATTTCGACCACTAGGCGATCACTAGCATCTATAAATACGCAAATTGGGTGAATCATTTAGGTAATTCTCTGTTAAAACTACCCACCTGAAATTCTCTAGTCGTCTCATCGCCATACTTCTTGATGAAATACTCGTACATTCCGATGTCAGTCTGTCTGCCCAATTGGTCGCGTGATTTTGCATTCGGAACACATTCTATTACTCCACACTACAAGTGACAATGAACATTAACAAGGACAAGTTTAATCATTCAATAGTTACTTGGCAGTTAAGGGGGCGTTCAAGTATTACGTAACGCAATTTTTGAAGATTTTTGACCCTCCCGCCCCCCTACGTAACGCGCCGTAACGTTTGTCTGGACCCCCCCTCCCCCTCCCTAAACGTTACGTAACACCCAAGTGACCATTTTTAACTAAAAGTCACAATTATGTTGTGCAAAGTACCGGAAAGTCGCTAAAATAACATTGTTATTGTTTTAATCACGTTTGCGGTAATAATAAATAAAACAAGAGATAAGAAATCTCTTAAAAATCGTAATAGATGCGTATATTGTTTATTTTATTTATTCATATTGTTATTTAATAAATAATCACACATAATGTAATAAACATTTGCTTAAGTTTTAAATATGTTAAAATGGGCTAAAATTCGTCCTAATAAACGTTTACTGCTAACTTTACATTTATTTACGCCGTTTTTCTGACTTGGCCCTTTCCTCAAATACATTTTTGGCTTAATCCACCAAGGTCTTCTCATGAATTTTCCTGTTTTAACTTTTTTTTTTACTAATAAACTATTAAAATAAAATAACATATTTATTTTAACCTTTGGCAATGCAATGGAAACCTAACTGAAATAAAACATTTTAGTCAAAATAAAATTGTATTCGTAGCTAAAAATTTAAAATAAAAACAGCCATAATTAAAATACGTAGGTATGTAAAAAAAGATCAATTTAATTGGAGTTACTATTCCTCTATCCACGGGTTTGCCGGCCACTCAGACTCTTTCATTACTGGCATCCGGAGAGCAGACGGAGCGGATTCCGGAATTGTTAAACCACTTGCATCAACTTCGTCTTCGTCAAGCGGCATACTCAGACGATGTTTCACAGCATCGCACAATGCAGAGAAGCTCATTTGTTCTTCTGGCAGCAGTCGCTGTGGCTGTACTCTATTTTTACGACGGTCTTGGGCAGTCTTGCCATGCACGTAACGACTGTGCATTTGCACACTCTTGTGAGATGTGAAATAGATCCCACATGTTGCACATATTCTGTTCTTGAGGTCAGATTGTACTGATGGGCAAAATAAATCGTAAGGCATCTGCTTAAACCCTTCTAGAGGAGGCGACAGATCATCTAACAACCTCACAAGAAGTGGTGAAAACTTGCATGATCCTTTGTCCAGCTGACCAGGTACCACGAGCTTGCTTGGGGTTTGAAGGATTGGACAGAGTGGCAGCAGGAAAGTATTTGGAAAGACAGATTTCAATGCACTGCTGCAGCGGGAACAGCAAGATTCATCCGCGCATTTAATCACTGGTGAGAAATATTGCGATTCACGAACGTGAGCCCTATACCATGCCAGATTAGGTTCTGCTGGATTCTGCAAGCTATCTTCCGGCTTTCAATATTCCGCCGAAACATCATAGCTGTTAGCTGTCAATTTTCATTTCCCTCCAGATCTTAGCAAGTGTCTCTCCAGCGTGCTGAAAATTGAGTTTTTCCAAATCATCATGATTACAGCCTTTCATAAGTCCACTGCTTAACATAGGCCTCCCCCAAGGAATGCCATAAAACACGATCCCTAGCCACCTGCATCCATCGACTACCTGCATATCCTACCAGATCGTCACTCCATCTAGTGGGCGATCGCCATACACTTCGCCTCAAAGAACTGACGAAGCGACAAGCTTCTGTGCAAATCTAAAAAATCTGTGTTCAGCAGTCGCATTTTTTTTATAGTTGAGGGGGCAAACGAACATGTGGCTCACCTGATGGTAAGTGACTACCACCGCCCATGAACAACTGCAACACCAGGGGAACCAGGGGAATTGCAGTTGCAGGCCTTTTAAAAAGGAGTAGACTCTTTTCTTGAAGGTCACTAATTCGTATCGGTCTGGAAAAATCGCTGATGGTAATCAATTCCACAAGGAAGTTGTACGAGGAAGAAAACATCTTCTAAATCACATAGTGGTGGACCGCCAATCATCCAGATGGTGTGGGTGATATCGGAAGTTCTACCGCGATGTTCTGCCGCGTTCGTGAAATTGCCACTAAATTTTAAGAGAGGACAGAGCAAGGAACGAAAAACGCAAAAGGTGCTTGGCTTTGAATTTTAGCCATTGTACACACACCAGACATGTTGCGGCATTATCATACTACGGCAAAAACCCTCTGCAGACCGTTTTTCCAATAGGTAATTTTCCAAAAAATTGTGCCAGAGAAATATTAGTACGTATTAGAAATCGCACCAGGATTTAACTGAGGCAGCTTTTCTTTTGATTTTGAAGTAAATACATCTATGTGTTTCGAACTCAATGCCAACACGCAGCGTACGCCTTCAACTGTATGATCCTGCTGCGGCTCCCGTGGCGGCCGCGCCTCGCTCGTTCAGTCAATTCATCAGCATTTCCACCGATATTATATATACTACTACTTCCATAGATATTATATATATACTACATAGGGCAGGCATTTCGATCAAAACACACTTAGCGAACGGTTATGTCACTCGTTTCCGCGCCACAACCAAATGCAAATTGTAGGAAAATTTATCGACCAAGTGAAAAATGAAAAAGTTTTAGCTCCAAATTAGCTGCCCTTAAAATCTGCCGCCCTAGGCTCCAGCCTACTCAGCCTGCTGGTAAATCCGCCACTGGTAAAAGTACTTTGTATTTCAGGTGCATTAAAAGAGAACACAGTCGCAATACAGTCTAGGGATTCCCCATAAAACATAGACAAAAAAGGTTGCCAACTTGGAAGTACAGAATAAAAATGACGTACCGTACATTCGAGGGATTCCCCGTAAAACGTAAACGAAAGGGGTTGCCAACTTGGGCGATTTTAATTTCCTAGTTTTTATTGAAATAAAAAAAACGTTACGTAACGCGTTATTGGAAAACCCCCTCCCGCCCCTGTAACGCATGGTAACGTTTTATAAGACCCCCCCTCCCCCCCAAATTGCGTTACGTAATACTTGAACGCCCCCTAATTTGCAATGGTGAAATACGCTAAAGCGATTATTAAATGTAAGGTTTGTTTTCATTCATTAAAATTTCGTTCTCTGAGAAGATTTATACTATGTAATCAATCAATAGTTTGTGAAAAACCATCAGGCTCAGAAGGGCTAGAACCCAGAGCCGTGAAGCCAGTTTAAAAAAATATGTGAAAAACCATATACATATATAAGTACTCTGTGATTTTTTTCTTTACTCTTGTAGTTTGATTTGCGCATGTGAGAGTTGGTTATTTGAATTGGCCTACTACGAGAACTATTAAATAAGCTTTTGTACAACCATAAACAAGTTATAATAGTTTGTAGTGAAAGACAACGAAAAGACGAAGGTATATATATTAGAATATTGTTAAATTACTTATTTTAGTCCCCCTCAATCACCTTTATTACAAAAATGTACAGACATCTGCGGTTTACATTTTTATTATATGTATAGATATTAAACACTTGATCTGTCTGTAGAGACTTTGCAGTATTTAGTGTATTTTAATGACTAAGTTCTTGTGAAATTTTATAAACACAGGACACCAGCATTAGGTAATTCTCAATAAAATAAACAAAACCGTGTAGTGGCAGTGTAAGAATATCTACCATATCATCTCGTGGGAGTCGTAAGACGCGATAGAGGTAATCAAACCGGGAGATGGACAGCTGCGTCTTCCTATATAGTAACATCTAGAAAATTAAAAACGGTTCGTTTGCCAACCTGCCTGCCAAGCGTGGTAACTATGGCAAATAAAACCTCCTGTGAGGCAATTTATGGGGAGGGCTATGTTCAGCAGTGGACTTTTGATAATACATATAACGGTAACGCCATCAAACATGGTTAAATTATTATTTTCTAATCAGCACTGATTGCTACTAAATATAAAATTTCAATATTTGTACTCACTCCAGGCGCAGTGGCGACGACTTTGTACGGGAACAGGTAGAGGTCGAGGCCGACCTGCTGGAAGATGTTCTTGAACAGCGATATCACCTGCAGCGCCAGCATGTCCTGCCGTACGTCGTCGCCTACTTTAAAGATGGCCGCCTGCCACGTCTCCGCCGCCATCGATATGTATCGGTCCTTGCCCTCTTCCTATAAATGTTACATTATAATAATAATGTCAGATTTAAACATAACATCGCGTTGAAAATAGGATGTACGAGAATCCAATTAGTAAATTGTACTCGGTGGTATGGAACGAAATTCGTAAAAAAATTTTATGTATGTAAATATAAACAGAGCAAGCAAAACACTACACTAACTAATATTTAATTGTTGTCTCTGTTATTTAGTACACCATTGTGTTTTTTCATATTTTTTAACTTCGAATGTGTGTGTTTGTGAGTGCGTGCGTGTGTGCGTGCGTGCGTGTGTGTGCGTGCGCGCGTGTGGTGTGTGTGTGTGTGTGTGTGTGTGTGTGTGTGCGCGCGTGTGTGTGCGTGTGTTTGTGCGTGAGTGCGTGCGTGCGTGTGGTGTGTGTGTGTTTGTGTGTGTGCGTGCGTGCGTGCCTGCGGTGTGTGTGTGTGTGTGTGTGTGTGTGAGCGCGCGTTAATAAAGATGTCCAACCTTTTCAAAGATTTTCAAAAAACAAAAATTAAATAGAATTTCGAGCAAAATCTCGAAAATAAGCGGGAAGTTCCAGGTATTGCCTGCTGGATCAACCGTTATTCAGATATTTTTTTAACTTATTTTTACTATAATGTAAGTGTATCTCGTTTTATTGTTCAATTACGAAGGAAATTATTTATCGTAGCTACGAGTACATCTATCTATTCTGTCTTGAGTTCTACAGGGACACCAGGGACCTGGTCATCTAAGACAGGTTTTACTTAGTTTAGGCACCAATTTTTCACCTATCAACTTCGTTGCTCTCATTAATGTATATTGTTGGTGGAAATCTATACAAATAAATACAATTGAAGTGTCTGTTTGTAATGTTAAAATAACAGCCTTTTACTAAATGCATATGAATGTATATACGGTACTTATAACAAGAACACAATTTTTAAAACTTTTGTCAGTCTGTCTGTCTGTCTGTCTGTTTGTTCCGGCTAATCTCCGAAACGGCTGGACCGATTTCTACGGGACTTTCACTGGCAGATAGCTAATGTTCTAAGGAGTAACTTAGGCTACTTATATTTGAGAAAAATAATTACGGTTTTGAGCAATATAATTAAAACCCTAAATTACACGCGGGCGAAGTCACGGGGAACAGCTAGTAAATAAATAAAACTATTCTTGGGCATAAAAGCAATATGTACTACGTACGTACTGTAGTACATATTACTTTAATGTTTTTGTGAATGGTCATTTAGTGAGTTGGCTCACTGTTGATTAAGGGAATAGTCATCGCAAAGTTTCATCCTTATTATTAAGTCTCGCGAATCACGTATCATTATATCAAAGCTCCAATGTATTTCCATGTCTAGTGGTTAGTATGGTGTTGGGTTTGTGTGTCAGTTAATTACTTACTTACTTATCTTCACGCACAATCCCTGACGGGGTAGCCAGAGAGAACAGATCGCCAAGTGTCACGATCCTTACATACCTCTTTCGCTTCTTTCAGATTCATTATCTTCTTCATACATGCACGTCTAGGTATCCGAGTACTCTTGACCCTCCCCTCTTCGAGCAATTTGCTCACATGGTCTTCGAAAGTTAGTATCGGTCTACCTCGACACCTTGTAATATTTACTTTCTTTACCATTCGGTCTTCACTCATTCGCTCAACGTGCCCAAACCATCGAAGCACGCCCTTATCAATTTTTGTGATAAGGTCATCTTTCAAACCTGCCATATTGCGAATCTCTTCGTTTCGCTTTCGGTCGGCCATGGTAACGCCGCACATTTTACGAAGAGATCGCATCTCCACTGCATTCAACTTGCTTTTATGCTTCTTCTGGCATACCCAGGTTTCGCTGCCATATAACAAAGTCGGTACCAACACTGCGTTATGTATTGCAAGGCGTGCACTCTTCACTACGCCTTGCCTTTTGACTAACGAAGTCAGGGCACCATTGACGTTGTTCCCGGCAGCGACACGCCTGTCCACATCTAAATCACATCTTCCATCCCGGCTAAAAGCACTCCCCAAGTATACAATTTCATTTACCTGTTCTAGACATTCCTGATTTACCCATATTTCACACTTCGTTCTCTCTTCGTCCCTTTCAAATACCAGAACCTTAGTTTTATTAGCATTCAAACGGAGACCTTTAATTTCACATTCCTCTTTCATACACGTGACTAATGCCTGCAGTTCTGCTTCTGATGGTGCAATAAGCACTGCATCATCAGCATACAGCAGACAATTTACTTTTATGTCACCCAATTTCACACCCAAACAGCTATCTTTCAGCTTCTGTAAACAGCTGTCGAGATACAGTATGAACAGCCAGGAAGACATGACACAACCCTGTTTTACGCCCGTTTGGACGCTAAACATGAGTGACAGGTCATGCCCTACCCGCACACAGGCTTTACAGTCACAGTAAAGAGACTGCACAGCCCTTAGCAATCGACCATCCACACCATACCCCGGCAACAGTTCCCACATTTTCTTCCTTACAACCTTATCAAATGCTTTTTCAAGATCCACAAAAGCACAGAAAATCTTCTGGTTAGCAGCCAGAAGCTTTTCCGTGATCATGCGGAGAAAAAACATTTGATCCATGCATCCTCTTCCAGGTCTAAATCCGCATTGTGCCTCCCATAGAAATCTTTCCGATTTCTCTTGCATCCTACATGTCAAAACTTTCGAGTAAACTTTACTTGCTAAACTGGTCAAGCTGATCGCCCGATAGCACCCGCAGTCAAAATGTGAACCTTTACCTTTATATAAAAGCACAATGACTGCGGATCGCCAATCATCCGGGACATCCCCCGTCCGCCAGCACAAATTGCACAGCAGATGAAAGCTGTCCCAGACGCGAGGCCCACCATACTTAACCATTTCAGCAGTAACTCTGTCTAGTTCCGCAGCCTTACCACATTTCAAACATCGAATCGCACGTTCAATCTCTTTCATACTGATGACCTCAGTGTCATCGAGGTCCGGGTCTGGCGTACCAGTCACGGCGTCATCCCCGGATCCCTCACTAAGATCATCACACGCATACATTTCTCTATAAAATTCACTCCATCGCTGCATGACGTCCGATTTTTCTGAGAGGACGTCATTAGTTCTCGAAAGCACTTTGTTCATTCTTAAGGCCGTCGCACCACTTCGGGTCCTTCCAGCTTCTTTCCAGAAGAGTTTGGAGTTCTCCTTGAAGTTGTGCGACAACCTTTCGTCCGCTTCCATTCTACACCTTTCACGCACTTCCTCAATCAATGCTTTCGTGTAAACTTTCTGCAGCTTATATCTTTCTTTCATTTTCTCTCTCATATCCTTATCAGTGTGTCAGTTAATTAATTTTAAAATTTTAAATACGTTTATATTAAACAACTTGGTAGTAAACTTACAGTTGGTGGATCTTCTCCAGAAGCTATAGCCATGGCTACGGCTTCCATCTCAGCTATGCCGTATTTTCGTACCCTGAACCTGGCCAAGTAGGGGGCTTTGGCCGCACTCTGCATAGGCGTACCTAATACCAAGAATTTTCATATACATATTATTATAATAACCTACACGATTTTACAATAAATTTAGGAACAGCCTTAGACAGCTCCGTGGCGCAGTGGCTCGGCAATGAGTTGCTGCGCTAAGGGCCGCGGGTTCGAATCCCGCACGGAACAAGTATTTGTATGGCATACAAATAATTGTTCCGGGTCTGGATGTTTGTCCTTGTGAAATTTATGTATGTAAATTGTCCTCACGATGCAGGAGAAAATCCTAGTGTAGGGGTAACGTTAAAAAAAAAGAAAAAGAAAAAGCCTAATAAATTTAAATATTATATGACAGTATCATATATATAGCATGTAATCAAAAAATTTGAAGGTAGCTACGAAGTATATTCCGTATTCACCAGGTTTGGCAGCAGGAATGACATTCGCACTAACGCGTAAGTAGCTGCTTCGTATAGCCAGTTAGACTAAAAAAAAAAACTCAATTTTAGGCGAATATACCATTTCATTTACATTTTTTTTATTTTTTTCTGAGGCACATTAGATCGGTTTTTACGTGTGATGGATTACTTCAGATCATCGAAAATAGCACATTATTGCCCACAATATTTGATATTGATAGCATTAGATTAAGAAAATATCTGAACTGAGGACATTGTTCTTTTACATAAAATTTTATAAAAAGCGTCTCTGAAATATAGTGCATCAATCTAGTAAAAATTGTATAAACTTGTTAAGGAAATTTTTTCCCCTGGCATCTGATATATTGTTAAAACTGATATTAAAAAAAAAATGAACAGACATTTGAATCTGCATTATGTTTTAAGTTGTAAAAGACCCTAGAGTTCCTTGACAGTTCTTTGAGAAGGTCTTATTTTTGCCAACCGATGTAGATTTTAGCGTTCACAACTGTTTTAAACTGGCTTAAATGGAATGAAAAGTTTGGAATTTGTCTTTCGAGTACTGTGCACGCAGTTTTGTACTATTCACCAATCCACCTGCTAAACAAATTCTACGTATTATGAAGAAAAATGCCTAGTTCAGAGAATTATCATAGGCTGACAAGGGACTAATAGATCATTGATTAAAAAGTTAAAGATCAAAAAGAGTCAAGTTCATATTTACATACCGCTTTTGTAATCGATGTCTATGACCATTGAATCCGGATTCGACGGCAGATAACATCCCGGTTGCACCTGAAACAAATGAAATATAATATTTTTTTGCAATTTGTATATTTTTAATATATTTTTTGTTATTAAATATTATTATTTCTCTAGTCGTGAGAGTCGATGCAGCTGTTCAATTCTATACCTACACGTAACATCAATAAGCATTTCTAGTCACTAGACACACACCTTTCCTAAAATAGCATTCGCTATACTAAGCAAAGAAGCAATGGTACAAGGCTGCCACTCGAGAACCTTTCTTAAACATTCGGCCTTTCGAGCTATGTCAGGTCCATTGCCGCTTCAAGCAACTGATCCGATGAGCGATCAGTTACTCTTGTACTTCTGCAGATAGGCCCTCTCAATAGAGCGTCAAGTGACTTTGAGCTATAATGTACGTGTTATATAAGCTAATATCAAGAGTCAATACTAACAATAATTACACAATAAAATATCCAATATTTTTTCATATTTTTTAACTTCGAATGTGTGTGTGCGTGAGTGCGTGCGTGCGTGTGTGCGTCAGTGCGTGCGTGCGTGCGTGTGTGCGTGCGTGCGTGTGTGTGTGTGTGTGTGTGTGTGTGCGTGCGTGCGTGCGTGTGGTGTGTGTGTGTGTGTGCGTGCGCATGTGCTGAATTTAAACCATAAATTAATACCATAAACAAAATGCTGAAAAAGACAAACAATTGGCTTACTTTAACATTTTTAAGCGCATCCAAACAAGCTCGCTTGCGTTCGGGTCCCTTCGGGTACGGTCGGATAATTCCGCTGATGTTCGTTATTTGACTGAAGAAATCAAACTCCCTCTCATAGAAAGCTTTTGCTGGACCAGAGAGCGAATCTACAATACTCTTCGTTAGGCTTTCGAGGATATCGTATAATACAGCTGAGAAAAAAAAACACAAATGTACACAACATTCCAAAAGCGATGATATAGGTGACAGCGGTCACGCAAAATTGAAAAAAAGGCTATTTAAAATAATAAATTAAATATTTAAAATTATTTAATATTTCATTCATTATCATTAATCAGCCTATCAAAGTCCACTGCTGAATAGCCATAAGTTTTATACCCATAGGGGGAAACCCCTTGTCTCATAAAGGGAACTTTTGGCATTGTGAGTAGTGGCAGTCCACTAGTGATCCACTACTATATCGTCTTGTGGCTGTCGTAAGTGTCTACAGTAGGAAACAAACCAAGAGATGAGCAACAGCGTCTTTCTAACGACTAGAAAATAAAAAACTGCGGTTGCCAACCTGCTTGCCAAGCGTTGCTACTGTGGCAAACGTGGGAGACGTTTGCTATAGTTTTTGAGGCAATGTATGGTGAGGCCTATGTTCAGCAGTGGACCTCGGTATAAAGATGATGATGATAAATGCAATGAAATTACTTTCAATTAACTGAAATAAATATTGTAAGTTGTTTATTAATGATTTATTTACAAGCAATATAATACATTATAACAATGGAATAAAACTCACGATCCTTATGATGCATTTCCTCATCCGTGTACATGTTGGTGTGCATGTTCCATATCAGCTGGTGGGCGACCACCTGTGATTTCTTCGCTAAGGATTTTATCAACTCTGATACATAGCCCATCTGTTGAACACATTGTTCAAATCAAATTCAGAATCACTCTTGCAAGCTGCAATCATTTCGCTTACTACTGCTATAGATATAACAGATGAAGATAGTCAGATTGAGTTTATTTTTACTATTATAAACCACGGTGCTTGACTACTATCCCATCTGATGGTAAGTGGGTGATGCTGACGAAGGTAGTATAGCGAGTTATAAATATTTTACGCTACAGGCGTGAGAGGAATGGATATCGTAAAAGTCGACTATTTGAGGGAAACGAGGAATGATTTGCAACATCATGGTCTTGCAACATATAGTGCGAAAAAAATCTTTTATAAATGTTCCAGACGTATTCAGGATGGTAATGTGTGGTAATTTCAGAGGTGTAAGATGTTATTTTACTTGTCAAACAAAAACTCCAAATTTTCAGTTGGAACAAAAATTAGTTTTCTGTTTAAAAGCGACATGGTAATAAAAACTAAGTATGTAATAATAAATAAATAAATAAAATACATTTATTTCTCAATAAACTTTCTCGAAATAAGTGGTGAAACAACCCCAGAGAGTAATTTCATATACTCGTGTTGAGGTGTTTCACCACTTGTGTGCTATTATCCTGGTACTTAACATTTAACATGATACTTGTAACATTTTTTTTGCTGATTTTCACCAAAAAATGTTTGTCGCGTTTGGCAGACGCAGATGATATTAAGAGCCATGATGATTCAGGAGCTAAGCGCACGCATTGAATTTCACAGAACTCGTGATCATTCACCGCCGGCACCAACGCAATTGTTAATTTTAATTTGAAGTGTGATTTGCCACGTGTTCGGTAAAAAAGAAAAGCAGTGATGAAACCTGTATGTGTGATGGTGCGGACAGACGTGCTTTTATTGAGCAAGTGCTCATTAGTAGCACGTTTGTCGGAACGTTGCTGGTGATGAGCATACTTATCTTGAGCGTGCTCAAAAAACAAATGACGTTTGAATTTCGAGCATGCTACCTGAGGCGCGGATAGAAGGGGAAATATTATATATAGGCTAGACATTTCCACTTACCGTATCGTGACGCAGAGCCTGTACCAGCTGTGGAATGTAAAGCAGCACGGCAGACGAAGGGTAGGAAGTCAAGGTGGTGACGGCGGCCTGCGCGGACAGCGGGTGCGGCGGGTACTGCCGGCTGAAGTACGACAGCGCCTCCACCGGACTCACGCGCGCCCACGTCAGGATGTGCACCAGCTGCCGAGAGGAGAGTACGGATTTTTATAGAATTTGCAGTTATGTTAAAAATCAAGTCAATAATAAAGATTTTTCAATTCTATTCTAAAGTCGTGTGAAAAGGGGTATACCCATTCATTACTTTTTTGTATACTTCCTCGTTGGTCTAACGATCGTGAACTCTCGGCGGTAAACGGCTCGGGCCAATGAAAATGAGTTATTGAGTTTTTCTTGATAAAGAATTCTCATTAGCAGCCCGTAGTCAGGTCGTGGTTGGCGATGTTTCACTCCCGTACTTCGGAGTTCACGTAAAGCCATTGATCCTGAGTATGATTTCTCTCCGGTCGTGGCAGATCGCCGTCCCATCGGACTATGACAGTGAGAGAATACAGTGCAACCCATACACTCAGGCACTATAATCCTGTCTTTCGCAGATGGCTAGCCTCCGTTGAAACTTCGTGACCGAAATTCGGTCTGGACGACCTTATTACATTTTTGCATATAGTATGTATGTGTGAGTAAAGACAGGAATAATGTGCGAGTGCGATGGCATAATTACCGCCGTCGTTTTAAATTCGTTCTTTGTTGGCTTAAATAATATCAGCTTGTATAACAATTTCTCCTCTCTCACCATCTAATTGCATCTCATCAGTTATATTCACATGGAAGCATAATGGAAAATACCTCATGCGCGTCGTTGAGCAACGTCTCAGTAGTGACTAAGTACTTGAGCGCCTGCGGGATGTGGCACACTGCTGTCGGCTGCGCTTGCACCTTTTTTCTTATTTCTTTTATTATTGCTTCATTTTTCAACCTGTTAAACATTAATTTTACATTAAAAAACTATTTTTACGTTAGAGGAGATATGCACATACGAGAATAATCAATTTTATCATAAGTTAAATTTCCTATTATGTAAGAGATATATTAAGACATTGACTTATTGAACCATCTAAATGCACTCGATAGTAAACTGGGACGGCGATTTTTTGGATTTGTTCTAAATAATTACGCTGGTTGAGCGAATTGGTGAATGGTGATTGCACTACCACAGAAATCGCACCTGTAACGCAAAAGCCCGACACAGGCCAGGATATTTAGGTCAAAAAAAGTTTTCTTCACTTAATATGGAAAGAAATGACACCCACATAAATGATTATTAACTACTTTTTTAAACTTAGCCTCATTCTTTTTCGGACAAATTATTCTAAATCTTGTCGAGTGGTTTGAAGTTGTAGATAATGATAGAAAACAAGATATTGTAAGCTAAACTAATAGCTTGAATATAAAATAAAAATACAACTGTTAGATAGTGGCTACAACTTTTGGGATAAACTAATATAATATGTTATAGCAGGGTTGGAGTACGAGAGGTATAGTGATTGACGTATCAGTGACAAATAAGCAGTCGGTTTTGAGTTTGAATAACAGCCGAAGTTAACAATAGTGCAATAAAATCTAATAAGCTAATGCTATAGCACGTGTAAATATATACAAGAGTAATAAATACCTCTCCGGCATGAAGACGGCGAGCGCGGGGCTGACGTCCCAGGCGTGCTTGGCGTAGTCGCGCCACGTGCGCTCGGTGTTGGGCTTGCAGCGCCACGTGGCGATGTTGTCCTCGCCCGCCAGCGCCAGCTCGGGCCGCGCGTGCGGGTTGTGCCACGTCACCAGCAGCTCGATCTCCACCGCCTGCCGCACGCACGCACACGTAATCAGTCTCGCTACCATTACGCTACCAACACGCTACATGCTGGTTAACATGCTGTCATCGCACAATTTAGTGGATATCCATTGGTCTGAAGTGACAAACGAATGTACATCGGATGGTGAGTGGCTACTGCACTCTGTAAACACCTGAAGATGACGTTTGAAGACCAAGATGGAATAGATTGGCACAACCTGTAATTATACGTTCTTTCTATATCCTTTAGACCAGTGATTCCCAACCAGTGGTCCACAGACCACCAATGGTCCGTCAGAGCTTAAATATGGTCCGCGAAAGATTTAAATATTTTACCTACCTAATCCTTTTAAATAACACATTTATTATTTTCTCGTCACGCGGACAGTAGGACAACGCGCGTCGCGCGCAATCAATGTCGTATTTTTTTACCAAACATGTATGATTTTTTTTTAATATTATTCAGTGGAATTGTCAAAGCTTACGCCCTAAATCCTTATCGTTTGAGGCGCTTCTTACACAAGAAAAGGTGCATATAGCCGTGCTTAGTGAAACCTGGCTCAAGCCGGATATGTATTTTAACATAAAAGATTATAATACCCATAGACTAGATAGATCAGATTCGTATGGTGGGGTCGCAATCTTAGCACATAGGTCAGTTAAAACAGTTTTATGTTCTTTTCACTGCTCTAATGTTGGTATTGAAATAATTCACGTTAAAATTCTTAATTGTCGGCATATTGAGAATATTGTGTCTATATACTGTCCATCAACGGTTCATACGACCCAAAACGATTGGGATTGTGTGTTTTCTCTTGCCAGTAAAAATACCTTAATACTAGGTGATTTTAACGCTCATCACACCAATTGGTCTTACAAAACAGATCAAAGAGGTTTTCAAATATTTGACTCCATGTTAGATCATAACTACATTTATTTGAATAATGGAGAACCCACCAGAGTGCGGCTCGTAAATGGGTCGTTACAACAATCTGCTCCTGATATCTCTTTTATTTCTTCAGATTTGGCTACTTTATTTTCCTGGCAAGTTACAAACGAAACTCTTGGTAGCGATCATCGTATAATCAAATTATCGATCGATTTAAACTTTGATAGAGAAGTTAAAAAAAATAGGGATTTTAAAAACAGCGATTGGAAGTCTTATACGTCATACATAGAGAACTCGTTTACCGACTTTAACATTCCCTCAAACCATCAAGAATTTTATGACTTATTCGAAGTTACCTTGCAAACAGCAGCTAGTAGATATATTCCCTACAAAAACATCCCAAAACATATTGACAATAAATTTATTCCCAAACCTTACTGGAATGCTGAAATATCTAAAGCCGTAGCAGAGCGCCGACGTGCATTGGCTAATCTAAGAAAAAATCCATCCCCTGAAAATTTAAATACTCTGCAAACGAAAATACGTGACACACAAAGAGTCATCCGGGTTGCCAAATGTAAATCATGGCAAAATTTCTGTAACTCTGTTGATGTAACCACTTCATCATCAGACATGTGGCGTAAAATGAGATGGATTAAAGGACATCGTTCTAAAAGCTCTTATGATGACGGTATAAGTAGAGACAAAGCGTAGAGACTACTCTATGATCTTAACCCTGACTATGCATGCCCGTTTCAACCATTATTTAACTCAATTAATACTGATTTGGAATCGGCAATCACTATCCACGAACTTGAAAATTCTATTAAAAAGACCGATACTGCGCCAGGTTATGACCAAATATCATTTTCCATGATTAAGCACCTTCCGTTAGTTGGCAAAAACCTGATAGTAAAATTATATAACTTGTCATTGAATTGTGGATTTATTCCTGCACAATGGCGTCAAATTAGTATAATCGCTATCCCTAAACATGGCAGTGACCCAAACTCGCGCACTTTATTCCGCCCAATTGCATTAATATCTTGCCTATGTAAAATTTTTCATTCAATACTGAATAAAAGACTAGAATGGTTTCTGGAAAAAATTTAATGTTTTCTGATAGTTTAATAGGTTTTCGTAAAGCTCGATCATGTTATGATAATCTAACTCGTTTGATTTCTCATATTCAGACAGGTTTTTCAAACAATTTAATAACAGTTGCCTGTTTTATTGACATAGATAACGCGTATAACAACATTGACATTAAATGTTTATTGCTTAATTTAGATCGGTTAGGAGTGGGCTCAAAAATTTGTCTATACCTCTGGTCATACTTAAATAATAGACAATTACGAATAACAGTTGACGGATATGACATGATTAGAACAACAGGACGAGGACTAGCGCAAGGCGATCCTTTGTCTCCTCTGCTTTTCAACGCAGCTACTATTAATATTTGTAAAAACATTAAAAATGTAGATATTTCTCAATATGCCGATGATTTTGTTCTATATTCTACCAAAAAAAGCGTCGACTCTGCGATTGAAGAACTCCAAATTGCTTGTCAGTATTTTGATAGTTTGTTGGGTAGTTTGGGTTTAATTATCTCTACAACCAAAAGTAAATTTTGTGTATTCAAAAAGGGCCGATTTAGAAGTTTTGTAAATTTTAAAATTAATAATCAATCTTTGCCATTAGTTAATGAAATCAAATATTTAGGTTTGTGGTTGGATTGTTCGCTTAGATGGGGAAAACATATTAACGAGTTAACTCAAAAATTGTCTAAATATATATCACTGTTAAAAGTCTTGTCAGGTCCAGGGTGGGGTATTCATCAAAAACATATTAGACGTTTGTATATTTCTATCATTCGAAGCAGAATTAACTATGCCAGCTTCCTGTATGATAATAGTTCTCAAACAAATTTGCAGAAGTTGGACAGGTTACAAAACCAAGCTTTACGTGTAATTGGTGGTTTTATAAGAAGTACCCCAATCCATGTCATGGAAAATGAGCTGTGTCTCCCACCACTTCAATTTCGTAGATAATTTCTCGCCAGTAAGTTTTGGTTAAAATCTAAATCTCTTTCAAATAACACCACTAACAATGTTGTACGGAATTTAACAATGCTCACACATTCTCGTTATTGGCACAATAAGAAAATTCCATTGCTTATTGATGTTCAAAAATCTTTTGAGTCAATACCTTTACATAGCACTGACAAACTTGAAATGTATTCACTTGAAACTTGGGTCAGCAATATTAATTTGCGCCAAGTAATACGAGACTCTATTCCACGCATTGATCGTCCCAAACACTCATACAGCAGCCGGATCCTTAAGAATATCTGTACACTTTTTATTGAACAAGAATATGAAAACTGGTACAAAGTTTTCACAGATGGATCTAAGGACAAAACCGGAGGAGGAGCAGCTTTATTGGATCCATACTCTGAATGCAGTATGAAATTTAAGATTGATTCCGATATTTCTATTATGCATATTGAATTGATTGCTATATCTGAAGCCCTATCATATATAGATTCAATATCTTTTCGCCAATTTGTCATTTTGCCTGACTCTAAAAGTTCCCTGCAGCATTTGGCTCGTTGTGCCTCTCAAGTGAGAGGTGAACCGATTGCCTATGATATAATAAAATCAATCTTAAAATTGCAATCTCAAAATAAAAAGATTATTATTCAATGGTTGCCATCTCATATACAGATAACAGGAAATGAGGTCGTTGACCTCTTAGCAAAACAGGCAGTTGTGGACGGGATACCGTTAATGGTGTTACCCCTTTTTTCTGACCACATTAAACATTTAAAAGATCAGTGCAGAGCGTTATGGCAAGAACATTTTTACGAAAGATCACGCGAGAAGGGTATCTGGTATCGAACAATTCAGCCACAAATAACCTGTAATTCGTGGATAGATAGTCCACTAAATAGAAACTACATAAAGTCTATTCTTAGATTACGTTCGGGACATATTCCATCGAATAAGTTTGCTTTTTTAATGAAAAAAGTGCCATCACCAAATTGCGACGTATGCGGAATAGTTGAAGATGTTCAACATATTTTGATGGAATGTGTCCGGAATGAAGCAATTAGAAGGTTATTTTTTGGTACGAATACGAATTTTCAGGTTGGCACCTTGAACAGTATTTTGACTTATCCTATGTCGGAGGAGGCTAAAATGCTGGTCAAGCTAGCCGACTTGATTCTATGTAGGGAATAGATGGGGCTGTTTATGGTTCCACTTATTCCTACTCCTTAGGTGTGTTTGCTTATAGTCGCGCGTGCTCCTTGCACGTAACTATTGTTAATATAATAGACTTTATGTTTAATTTTGTATTCAATTGTAGTGATTAAGTAATTGTAGACAAAACGGGACGATGTGGTCGCTCAGCGACAAAGTCCTTTATAATAATAAATAAAAAAAAATGATTTTTTTTATATAATAAATACACAAATAATACTATGAATGAATGCTTCTTTTCAGTTTATTGTATAATTATGTTAAAAGGTATGATTAAAATTGTTAGATTAACAGTTTTTTCTTTCACTTTGTGATCAAACACAACAACAAACAAATCAGTATAATCAGTATAACCTATTCTTCAAATTTCTTGCAGCCTAGATTTCTCTTATGTGAACGACGTTTTTCAGAGATATTAGGATCTTCTCCTGTATCGCGAAGTAGCGAGGGAGTTAACCAGTAGCTTGTCACATCATTTTCACGTTTATTATTTAAGCGAGTATTGGACGTTATCAAATTGCATAGCAAATAATATGTATATACAGAAACTATGAATTCATTAATAGTATTCCCATTCGATTTCTATAGAATAAACTGCTTTTTGACAGTTCGTGAAATGTATTTCAATAGAGATGAGTGTTAACCTACAGCGATTTAGTAAAAATACAATATATAAATTAGTTATAAATAGGACTTCATGTTAACATGTAAAAATCAAGACAAAGGCACTTCATTTTATACCTAATATTTTATTCTTGTTTAGTTTATATTTTAAGAAATTGTCAACGTGATCGAAAATAATTATCACCGTTATATATATATATCTTTATATTTCTGAGCGCCTTCCTTCCTCACTCAGCTGCGAGACGCGGTAGCAAACAGGGATTTCACTTTTGAATTTATAATACGTTTGTTTAGATGTTTAACAGCAGTTTAAGTGGCGGTCCACCACTATGCGATTTAGAAGATGTTTTCTTCCTCGCACAACTTCCTTGTGGAATCGATTACCACCAGCGATTTTTTCGGACCGATACGACTTAGGGACCTTCAAGAAAAGAGCCTACTCCTTTTTAAAAGGCCGGCAACGCATCTGTATGGATGCATCTGGTGTTGCAGTTGTTCATGGGCGGCTGTAGTCACTTAGATACCATCAGGTGAGCCACATGCTCGTTTGCCCCCTCTCCTATAAAAAAAAATAAATCTATTATTAATACAGTCCACTCGCTTTAATTCTAAAAGTCCCAATAAGATCCTAACAACGATACACCGGTTTCTTAAAACTGACTACAGCTTTTTAAATGTTTTCATATTGGTTGCACGAGCCTCGTCTTATAGTGAAGGAAGTTGATTTCAAGAAATATTTATATAAGACGTGAAAAAATAGTTAACATATCCCCCCTTGTACTACATACTTTTGCTAATTCTCTTTTCATTTACATTTTTATTTATTTCCCTTTATATAGTTTTTAAAGCAACATAAATTGCTGATGCCAATTAATATATCGAATATTACGATACAATACAATGCAGTGGTTAAAAGTAAAATCGTAATCTATACCTATACGTACCATAGCTAAGTACATGCGTTCTTTCATTTTTAAGAGGGGTTATAGAGTAATAAGTCCGCCGTGCTAATCTAGCGCGCGTTGAAAGACATGCCCTTGAAAATATTTTATTACTTAAACATGCAGGTGTTGTCATAATTTTCCTTAATAGGAAAAAGGAGCACAATATTTAATCTCAAGTAAAAGTCAAAACCACACAATGACATACCATCAATTCCAAAATCAAATTTCTCTTCCTGACGTAATCCTTGACGAACGTGTCCTGTGGCTTGATGAGCGGTTTGACGCTGCGGTTAGAACGCTTGCCCGCTATACTTCCCGCTCCGCTGCTGAGCGTTGTTGTTGACATTGGTACCTGTCAAAGTGACGTTTCTGTTATAATGATGCTCTATTAGCAAGTTATTATGTAAATATGCTTCGACAACATACGCAATGGGAAATATTTAAATAACAGATATTTTCTTTATCATCTGCCCGTAAAAGTGCACTGTTGGTACCTGGGTCTCACCTGATGTAGGGCGGAATTATCGCAACGGAGACTAATGATTGCAGTGCCTTTGCTGCTGTCACCTAACGGAAGTCATAAGATTTTTCTGGCACTGCTCATAATCGCCTCTTAAAACACCCACGGCACGAAATGGGATGATTGATTTCCTTAAGCCGCCAGCACTTGGCAGGTAAGTAAAAATAGTGATGAGTAGATTTGTGTGATTAAAAAAAAGTTAAATCACAAACGTAGACAACAATTATGAGTTAAATAGATTAAATATATAAACACCGTAAGTACACAAAATGAACAAATAAACACTACTATTTTAAATTATAATTTAAAAGTATTTATAAATAGAACATAAATATACCGTATTGATCCATCCAGTTGTCTGACGACTGCCAATATCGCTACTGTTCATCGAGGAACGATTGTCAGTTGGAGAATTGGAAGTGTAGATACTCTGTTGGCTGCTCGGATGGTTATCGAATTCTGGTGAAAATAAAACAAATTTTTCTGAAGCTATACTTATTTAGATGCGTCAATTTAATAATTTAAATGAAATCATTGCATGCAAATCAAAAATTGTCATTTTTCTTATAGGTAAGGGTGACAAACGAGCACACAGTCCACCAATAAAGAATCAAAATTAAGATGCGTCGTCACCCGTGATGACTTAGTTGGAATGCCTCTTTTCCAGTAAAAAGGGTCTCCGGTTCTCTACACTCACCATACGAAACACAGCAGTGTCAAGCTGCCATTTTACGCTGGTATTCTGTGAGAGCGTAGTCCTTCCACGGTCGAGCCGAACCATTCATGCTACAACTATACTACTAATATAGCTGCGGAATGGCTCTACCACGTATAAATATATTACAGGACATGTGGGTCTTGGGTACATGAATATTGGAATACAAATTAAATTAATCTTTTTCATGTCTTTCAGACCAACCATCATGAAAATACATCCTGATAAGTTTAACTAAAAATACACAATTTGTACAGATCTTTTCCAGATTAGATGTAAAGCCAAAACAAAGGTGTGAAGTAATGTATGAACGTACAATGATTCTAATGCATTTTAAAGATTAAGCTTCTATATTTTGTATTTCCGAACCCTTAAAACAGATTTTTCATCAACATCATCATTGTTGCAGTCCCATGGGGCATACACGTGGTAGAGCCATGCTGCAGCTATATTAGAAGTATAGTTGTAGCACGAATGGGTCGGCTCGACCGGGGAAGGACCATGCTCTCGCAGAATACCAGCGTAAAATAGCAGCTTAACACTGCTGTGTTTCATATGGTGAGTGTAGAGAACCGGAGAACCTTTTTACTGGAACAGAGGCGTTCCATTTTAGTCCTCACGGGTGACAACGCATCTGCATTTAGGTTTTTTTTTGAGGATAGATGTAGTTGTCTATGGGTCACAGAAACCACTTATCATCAGGTGGACTGTGTGCTCGTTTGTCACCCTTATCCTCTAAAGAAGTGTACTTCAAAGCATCAACTCCCTACAGGTTTCATCACGTCATCATTCCATCTAGCGTAGGAGTCGTCAAAACACTACGCTTCTAGTACGAACCTGCCAATCGAGAACCTTTATTGCACATTCTTTATTTTTAAAAATCTAAACTAACTAACTTTGATGACGCTTTGGATAACCTTATTACGGATTCAATCGTGCAGAGAAACCCCAAGCATTGCTCTCTTCATAGTGTCTAGCCATAGACGGGCTGCATTTTCCATACAAATGTATTCCCCTATTCTCTTCCTGGATAATGCCTCCAGAGTAAATATTTTTGTTTATATAAATCTAGGTCTATTGAAGGCATAAATAAATATGACTTTCCAATAACCTAAAATTATGCCCCATTTTTACCTCCGTAATCAGACGACTACCAAAGAAATTTGAAAACTCTTCAAGGTAAATACAAGTGATAGGAGCATATATCTATTCTTCCTTTAAATTTTGATACCAAAAATAATTTAATCGGCTTAGTTTTCGGAGAGAAAACAGGGAAATACGAAACGTCGATCGGTTATGGTTTTGGTAGGTAAAATCGTACTGAGCTGCAGTTGTCCCTATCGTACCCCATAGAGGGGGGAGGCCATATATAGCGCGACGGCAATAGTTTCTTCAAATACCTATTTATCAATTCCCGCGCAGACCGATTACGCTTTTAAGGTTTCGATGTATGGAATAAATAGCATTGATTTATAGAATATATAACATAATCATAACTATTTCAAAGTTAAATATATTCAGCGTGGCAGAGATTATCGTTCTACCAGTTTATAGGTAATAACACGGAGTAAATACGAAGAGGAGACGGCGTAAGTAACTGTGCACTGTGATTCTAACTAGGTCCTGACGTCATCACAGTGGGCGTGGCTTTAGTTAGTATACTGTCAGCGTTCGTCCTTTGCGCTTATGTGTCGAAAATCGCAAATCGGTGTATTTTCGTAATATTAAGAAGAAAAGGATGAAGTGTTGTGTTTTATCCTGTAAAAACTACTCTGATAGACGTTCTGATGCTATGGATGGCCTCACATTTCATTTGTAAGTAATTTTATACCTAATTTATAAAAATACTTCTAGAAAAATCTCTGCGTCGGCTTTCAAATATAGTTAAATATATTCGACACTAGATGGCGACACTTTGTGTCATGGAAACTAAAAATATAAAGGTACGTAGAGCTCAGTATTGGTAAAATAATCATACGAAGGTGCTAAAATTTTTTTTTCATTCAGTCCTAAAGAATTTTTAATCGCCAAAATATTATTTTTATAGTTATTATAATCATTTGTGAACAGGTCGCCATCTATCGTCAACGTAGCTAAACTACATTGCAACATCGTTATGGAACGATACAAGTAGTTTTACTATTTATTGGTAGATGCAAAATAGTTAAGTGGGTAAAGCTTAACACCCCCTCACCCCGCAAATTGTCACACGTTGTTACATAGTGAAATCTAATTACAACACCTCCTCTTTGTATTTGCTCCGTGGGTAATATACTCATAAACAAAAGAAAATTCAAATAAAACTAATTTTACGGATTATATCGCGTATATTAACTTATTTTATATTCCCGATGTTTCGAGCACTTTACAGCACCCATGGTTACGGGGGGGGGGGGGAGGCACTGATGTGTATGAAGTCCCAATGTCATAGTTAACCACGGCTACCTCCAGATTAAAAATTATTAATTTTAGTTTTTTTGTTCTATGTAAGGTCTTTGTTTAATTTAAATGTGTAGTGTTCGCGTAAATATAAGAAATAATTATAAAAGAAAATTCATTAATATTTATAAAAGAAAGAAAGATGTTACATTGTTATTTTTGTATGATTTTATGTGAAAGTGAAGTCATGGTAGATTAGGGACTGGGCGCTCTCCTTTAACTTCAAAGTTCCAACGCACTACCTAACTTTATTTCCAGTCAGCAGTAACTTACTTGCTGACGGAGGAAAAGGACATCTTGAACATACATTAAGAAGAACGCCATGCTGTTTCCTGCAGTAACATCCTGGCAGCAATGAAGGGATCCTGTGACAGGCAGTGGGTATGTGGACTGTTACTTTATAGGATTCCGTACCCGAAGGTTAACCAACAGGACCCTATTACTAAGCCTCCGCTGTCCGTCCGTCTGTCAGGGGGCTGTATCCCATGATCCTTAATAGATAGACAGTTGAAATTTTGTGTGAACAGTGTGAAACCGGTGTTGCGGGTATAACAACAAATAATAAAAATAAATGGAAAATTAAAGGGAGCCCCCTACTTCCTACTAGAAACGTTTTTTTACGATTGGTACGGAACCATGCACGAGGCCGACTCGAACTTGGCCGGTTTTTTATAAAATTGAAATAGCAAACGAAATTGCAAACCACCTGACGTTAAGTGGCTACTAGAGGCCATGGACACCTGCAACCAACTTCAAACAAAGAAGGCTACAGGTGTGTTGTTTGTTACCTCTAAGGACAAAGATGGAATGCCTTACAGCTTGTAAATAAACTGGTTTCAGACCGGCACACAGCTTTCACGCACTATTCTTGGCGGCAGTTATAAGGGCACTTAGGCAGAAATGAAGTGCTATCACCTAGATACTACAATAAAGGTTACAATTATTACTTACCGCCAATGTCGCTGCTCTTCAAATATTTCTTATCCGAATGCATCAGCTGCCAGAATTTGATTAATGACATGATGTCCTCTCTCAAGGCACCGGCACTTTTGGAGGGACACTGCAGTCCTCTGCAGAAGTAATCTAAGCACACGCTGTACACGCGCTCGCGGAGTATGTTGCGCGCCAGTGAGCGGGGCAGTATGTCGCCTTGGAGCAGGGACAGACCGCACGATAACAGTCTGTAAAATAAAATCTATAAGGATCAATTTTTTCCGTAAATAAATAAAAAAATATTGTAAATGGCGATAAACAATTTTGCAATAATTGTACTTAAATGGAGACAAACGGAGCAATATTTTTGAAAATTATCTATTACATTGACAGCCATTTAATATATTTAATATTTTATTTATTAAATTTAATTAAATTTAATACAAATAATTTTTTATCAGTTGTAAGTAAAGTTTTTTTAAGGAAAAAATGCCTTGCTGAGGGACGTATATTAGTTTTTTACTATAAATATTTTAAACAATTTCAGCCTTATTAATAAACATAGACTTGAGCAAGATTAACTTTACTCCTAGTTTAAAGATTAAAATAACTAATTTTAGTATTAATAAACATAGAGTAAGGAGGGAGTAAACTAATCCGAATCTACCTACTGTCGGAATAAAAGTTAATCCTTGGCGATACATAGTTTAACGACGGAGTAAGCATAGTGATTAGGCGCGTATTTTGACATTTTGTAAAACTACGCACGTTGTAGCTGCTTAAGTTCGTATTTCGTTATTTCCATTTATATTTGTTACTTTAGTTCATTGTCAACAATCTCAAGATGGATATAGATTATTTCATTGATGATATGAGAGTGATAGATGAAATTAATGAAGTGGTTAATCAGATTCCATTAATGAGACGTGTAAAATTTTATAAAATTCGTAAAAATCCACTGGAAAAACTTCAAGAAGCCGAATTTAAAATTAAATACAGATTTTCCGCGCCACTGCCGTTTTCCTTATTGACATGGTGAAAAATTATTTGGCCGGTGATTCAAGAAGTGGATTTATACCACCCCATCTGAAAGTTTCGACTGCCATAAGAACATAGGCCCGTGGAGAGGTAATTACTATGTACCTATTATCAATTTTATAGGTTTTTACCTTCATTTACATTAACATCTCCCATTATCAATAGTTTTAACAATTAAGTGTATAATTATTAGTTGTTATGATTTCTAATTCAATTACTTTTGTTCTCAACAGATACAAGATGATGCCGGAGATCTAAGTGGAATGAGTCAGCCAACAATATCACTTGTATGCAAATAAGTTGCTTTAACCTAGTAGCACAAAGAGCACAGTGGATTAAAATGCCACAAAGTGATATGGAGCAGAACCATGTGATTGCAGGTTTTTATTCAGTATGTGGATTTAGACAAGTGATAGGGGCTATTGATTGCACACATATTCGAATCCCGAAAGTCGGTGGAAATATCGGACAATACTACATAAACAGGAAAGGATACAGTTCAATAAATGTACAAGTAAGTTTTATAGCACCTAGCTAGCCCATGTTTGCCATATATTTACCTAGTTATATCTTAGACAGATTCAGTATAATCTCCTTAATCTATTATTTCTTATTAACAAAGCTATGAGTACTTTGTTCCAGGTTGTGGCAAATGCTAATTTAGAGATCATGGATATAGTGGCACATTGGCGAGGCAGCACACATGACTCAAGAATATTTAATGAAAGTCGCATAAAACAAAGGTTCGAGCAGTCAGAATTTAAAGGCAGGCTTCTCGGAGATTCTGGTTATGCTTGTACTCCTTATTTATTCACTCCTATCCTGCGTACCAATACACAAAAGGAAGAAATGTACAACCGGTCGCACATCAGGACCCGAAACACTGTAGAACGATGCTTTGGAGTGTGGGAGCAAAGGTTTCGGTGTTTACAGCAAGGACTTAATATAAAATTAGTGAATACAAAACTATATATTGTTGCATTGGCAATACTGCACAACATTGCAATGCACAAGCAAGATCTGCTTGAGGATGCAGTAGATGATGGAAATGTTCCAGTCACAGAATTAGTAAATAACTCCCAAGAGGAAATTCAACACGGGCAGCATTTATTAATGAAAAATTTTAAAATAAATTACACAATATTTACATCTACAAAATAAAAATAAACATTTCACCGTCAAAAACTATGTATGTATATTATTAACTTATTTTGTTTTGTTATTTAGAGGCAAATTCTCGCTTACAAATTTCAACAAAAAGATAAGTAAATATATAAGACAATTATTATAATAATAATTTTTGATTACAGACATAATACTCATTTATAAAGGAAAATATTTCTGCTGCGTCATTATCAACTGTCAAAGCATAATGACTACATACAATTTTTATCAATATGGAATAAATCCAGGGAAGTAATGTGATAATATTTCATTTTTAGAGTAAAGTGCTTTTATTTAGGCCGTAAATTATTGTTTCAGGGAAAGATGCATGGTACAGCACATTTCAAGTCAATATGAAGCTATGTAATATAAAAACTTTTGAGTGCTTTATTAAACTAAGTTTGTATAAAAAGGGTTATTATAATATTAAAGAATTGATGGATGATAATAACCCCTGGAGATGAGTTGATCGCTACCAAGCTATTTCTAATTTGTTGTGTTGTTAATTTGTGTAACATACATGATTGTAAGCTGTTATTTAAAATAAGTCCCGCTGGGTTTCTTGCTGGTTCTTCCCAGGACACAGGTATTTTTTTTCGAACCAGTGGTAATTAAACAAAAGAGTGGCTTTCAATAAGTATTATTTATATTGAATGAAAAAGTTTCTGTTTCTGTTTTATTTTTTAAGGATAAATGTATATATTTTTTCTTCTTTATATTAATTTTGCTCTTCACACACTTATCTTATTTCTAAAATTTCTCTTTCGAGTATTGCACATTTTAGTTATTATTTATGTATTTCCATTTTAATTGCATGTTCCTCTTCAGCCATTTCCAAACGTCTCTTTGTTTTTCCTCTTTCAACATTTTGCTATGGCTTATCATGTTTATATAGTCATCATGGTTCTGTAAATGAAAACCAGTTATTAAAAAATAGACTGTTGATAAACATAACATACACTACATAAAAAGAAAAATAATAATTGCTTACATAATTAAATAGAATAGGAATGATTGATGAATAAATGAATTGAGGAATTAGTCTTCTAAAATGTTATAAGCAGTATAGCAGTATGTACATTTGCTAAGAAACTAAAGAATAAAAAATGTACTCACAATCCCATCTGAATCATATATTATGATCCCTCAACACCTCTGCAGGATTCAACAAATCTTTGATTTCTATTACTCCATCATTAGGAGTTGCAGGTCTTGCCCCACCACCTGTTTTAGTTAATTCTTTTTTGTATATGCTGTATTTCTTCAGAGCATTTACCTTCATAGTTTTCCACTGTATTTTCAGCTGACTTAATTGTCGATGTCGTGTGTGTGTAATTGTGAACAGATTTGGTACAAATTTAGCAGAAATATAGATCATACTCTGGAAAAACAAACAGGGCACCTAAAAGTCCTAACCTAGGTAGATCTAAAATCAGAAAAACAATAATCATCTTACTTTTTGTGAACCTCTTCCCCCCTTTAAACGCTTTAGTTTTTATCTCGATTGTATTTGTATCTAGGGATTAATTTTCAATAATGTCTGCATATCCTTTGAGCACAGTATGAAATAAAAGCTGAAACAGTAAAAGATAATATCAATAAAGACCACGGTACAAAGATTCATTAATAATAAATTAATAAATTTATTGACTTAAATTACCTTTTCTTCTTCATCCTAATTTTGAGAGCGATTGCGTTTTTGATACATTTTAAGACCTGATTAAAAGTGCTTTAATTTGGAACTTAGTTTTTCCACCGAGTCCGAAAACAACACGAGGAACAACACATAACGCTTATTTTTCAACCATTTTCAACTCTTGTCAAGTTGTCAAACTCAAAATATTGCCTGTCACTGTCATTAATATCATTGTTTAGGCCTAAATATAGGCATTTGAAGAGGCATCCAATCACGTACGACTTAGTGCATCACCCGATGGTGTGAGGTGAGGTGAGGTAAACGCCGCTGAGGGGGGGGGGGCGCGTGCCGCTTGCAGTCGCTCGACGCGCGGGCTGAAAACAGTAGCTTTAGTGCAGCGGCGCCGTCGCAACGTAACGTATTTGTGGTGACCGTGGCAGCGATTTCGTGCGACCAGCTTTGGTTTTATGGTCTAGATTTTAAGTATTTGTGCGCGTTACTTCGCTACTTAAATTGTGTTTCGTGAAGACCGCCTCGGATTAGGTTGTCTAAGTATTGCAGTGAGCATACTCGGGCCGCGTGATCACTGCCTTAGAAGGTCGCGTTCGGTTCTCGAAATAATTTGTTGCTGAGTGAACGGAAGTGAACTTTGAGCCACCGTTCATCAGTCGTGCCGCGTGTTACGTTTTTGATTATAATTAACGGGATTTAGTTGAGTTTCGAAGTTAGTTAAATGTACAATAAAGTTGATAGACTGACATAGTATTGTGAGGAACTACCGGTTGTAAAGGACGCGTGTGGAATTATAACGTCGATTTAAGTGCCTCTCAATTTTGCGTTGTTTTTTTTGTTTGTTTTACGTGTCAACGAGGCTGAATTTTGAGTTTGAGCGATTAATTAACGTCGTTACAATTAATTAGCGTCAAGTGGTATAGTGGTTGCATGTATAAGTGCATTCTGACAATATTAATTCGCGTCAACGAGTTGCTTTGTGCCATTTGATTTAACTCGGAGATATTTTCCTGTCACGGTTAAAACCGCTAAACTATGTGACCCGCGAGAACCAGCGTTCGTATTAGATTATAGATTTGTGCTAATGGACGCTAGGCTTTAGTGACACTGAGTGACGCCGCAGGAGTGATACCACATAGGGTGGCGGTGCTGGAGTCAGGGTTGCTGCTGATTAAAAAGGGCTAATTCAGTTTAACCATATATACACTTCTCACACACTACTTACATTCACTACACTTCGCTTCTGAACCAGGTAAGTCGCATTAAGTACCTTACTTACTTATCTTCACGCACAATCCCTGACGGGCTAGCCAGAGAGATCAGATCGCCAAGTGTCACGATCCTCTATCTATCTCCACCTACGACGATTAAGTACCTAATCTATATATATTAAATATCCATAGGCATTTGAGCCCCAAACTTAGTTGTCCGTCGAATCTACAGCTGTATGGGCCCCTGTATAGTCGACCTTAGTCTGGGCAACTAGGTGCGTGTACAGTCATCATCAAGCATTGAGTTCATTCACCAATCATTCACTGACTCACTCACTTTACTTAATCACAGAGTACTTTTGTATATAAGAAATACTTGATCCCGGCGTAAGGAATGTATTGTTAGTACGAGGTTACTCCATGTTTATTAATAACATTGTAATATAGAAGTGAATACTCAGTTACTCTGAGATTAACTAGTCCAAGTGGAACGTCGAATTAAGCTTGGAATAAGCAATTTTTTTAATAAGGCTATTTCTGTTTAGTATGTTACATAACGTAATGTTAATTTGTAAGAGATAATCTTTGGAACCGCTTTATTACATTGTATTATTATTAAAACACGTAACTATTATTATTGTAGTCAAATTTAGTTTTCAATATGAAGTTAACCAGTTAGCATATAAAAATCAAGATTTATTACATAACGTTATGCTAATTTGTAAGAGATAATCTTTGGAACCGCTTTATTATACTGTATTATTATTAAAACCGTAACTATTATTATTGTAGTCAAATTTAGTTTTCAATATGATGTTAACGAGTTACCATATAAAAATCGAGATTTATTACATAACGTTATGCTAATTTTTAAGAGATAATCTTTGGAACCGCTTTATTATACTGTATTATTATTAAAACCGTAACTATTATTATTGTAGTCAAATTTAGTTTTCAATATGATGTTAACGAGTTACCATATAAAAATCGAGATTTATTACATAACGTTATGTTAATTTGTAAGAGATAATCTTTGGAACCGCTTTATTATACTGTATTATTATTAAAATCGTAAGTATTATTATTGTAGTCAAATTTAGTTTTCAATATGAAGTTAACGAGTTACCATATAAAAATTGAGATTTATTACATAACGTTATGTTAATTTGTAAGAGATAATCTTTGGAACCGCTTTATTATACTGTACTATTATTAAAATCGTAACTATTATTATTGTAGTCAAATTTAGTTTTCAATATGAAGTTAACGAGTTACCATGTAAAAATCGAGATTTATTACATAACGTTATGTTAATTTGTAAGAGATAATCTTTGGAACCGCTTTATTATACTGTATTATTATTAAAACCGTGACTACTATTATTGTAGTCAAATTTAGTTTTCAATATGAAGTTAACGAGTTACCATATAAAAATCGAGATTTATTACATAACGTTATGTTAATTTGTAAGAGATAATCTTTGGAACCGCTTTATTATACTGTATTATTATTAAAATCGTAAGTATTATTATTGTAGTCAAATTTAGTTTTCAATATGAAGTTAACGAGTTACCATATAAAAATTGAGATTTATTACATAACGTTATGTTAATTTGTAAGAGATAATCTTTGGAACCGCTTTATTATACTGTACTATTATTAAAATCGTAACTATTATTATTGTAGTCAAATTTAGTTTTCAATATGAAGTTAACGAGTTACCATGTAAAAATCGAGATTTATTACATAACGTTATGTTAATTTGTAAGAGATAATCTTTGGAACCGCTTTATTATACTGTATTATTATTAAAACCGTGACTACTATTATTGTAGTCAAATTTAGTTTTCAATATGAAGTTAACGAGTTACCATATAAAAATCGAGATTTATTACATAACGTTATGTTAATTTGTAAGAGAAAATATTTGGAACCGCTTTATTATACTGTATTATTATTAAAATCGTAACTATTATTATTGTAGTCAAATTTAGTTTTCAATATGATGTTAACGAGTTACCATATAAAAATCGAGATTTATTACATAACGTTATGTTAATTTGTAAGACATAATCTTTGGAACCGCTTTATTATACTGTATTATTATTAAAACCGTAACTATTATTATTGTAGTCAAATTTAGTTTTCAATATGATGTTAACGAGTTACCATATAAAAATCGAGATTTATTACATAACGTTATGTTAATTTGTAAGAGATAATCTTTGGAACCGCTTTATTATACTGTATTATTATTAAAATCGTAAGTGTTATTATTGTAGTCAAATTTAGTTTTCAATATGAAGTTAACGAGTTAGCATATAAAAATCGAGATTTGATGGTTAATTTGATTCTTTCCCATATTATTTTGAGGTTTGCAATAAATTTGCTTTCACACGCATTTTGCGTAAGGGAATGCGCGCGGGTCATCTATATATTCTTGCAAAAAATATTATTTTATGTGAAAAGAAAAATTTACTTACTTAAAGCGGACGCCAGCTGCATCAACATGTCTGTTGATGTGATCCCTCACATCCCCAACAGTTATCGGCAATGATCTGCACAAAAAAACGTTATTTTTCTTTGATATAATTGATTACTTTTTCTACCTTCCGAAAAGCAGTGAATGTGCTTCACATGCTGGCATTGGAACGTGCATAGGCTTTCATTTAACTCTTTCAGATAGCCCTAGATTCATGATGTATTATGAATATTATCTCTATTCCTAAAAACCATATTTACTGAGTGGTAGGACGTATTTTTCAATCTATGACTTTCTGCATAGATACCAACCTCTTTTTCAGACTGTTCACCTAGTTGTCAGTGGATGCTGACACCTACATCTATCCTCAACCAAGAATCAAACTTAATGATTGTTATATTAGCATCGGTTGCCAAATAAAAAAGATATGTCAATTCTAAAGAGCGTCTAGCACGCTCTCGGCGTGACGCGTGCACAAGTCGGAATAGAAAACGCGGCTCGGCTGTGCACTGACTACTGTAAGACACTAATGTAAAAATTTAGGTATAATATACTCCACCGCATTTCTTCGCGTGGGTGTTGTGAGAGGCGACTATGGTATAATCCAATAAGTGTTTTTTTTTTAATTTTAATATACCACATTTTTTATCGCATTCTTGCATTGTCATTCGAATTTGAGCTATATTCAAAGTTTCAAGTTTCCAGCTTAACGGGAAACAAGTTTAAAATCAATTACTAAATTCCACCCGGAACGACAGTAGAAAAACAAAAAAGTGACTAAATAAAAACGTGGTAAAAAGTAAAATGGCTTCGGATAAAATAGATGGCAGTATAACCAAGGTGGTTATTACGCCAGGCGTAAAATACCCAGACCGGCGATGGTCTGCAGCGTTAAAAGAGCGAGACGTCTGGTACTGGAATCAATAATTCGAGCCATGCGTAATGCCTCCTATATACTACTCGCGAAGTAACTTTAACGAAGTGCTCGTAAATGTAGAGGTCGATCGCAGTCCGAAGAACGTGACTACACACTCGTGCTACTTCGCGAAGATCTCACTCGCCATGAGTCGCCCGCACCCTTAACATGAATAACGTTCTAGAGGCAGCTGTTATAGGTACCCAATTGTGCGAATAGTACGACGTCAATGCGTTAACCATAGATAAATAATTATGTGGAAAGCTACATATTTAATATTTAAAAATTAATATATAACTGGCGTACGCCGAGTAGTGTAGTGAGACGCTTCGTGTAACTTCGGAGAACTTCGCGAAATCCTTTGATTCGGGCGCAAAAAACTGACAGCTATCAGAAGTCGCCCGAGGCGAAGCGAGGTTGCACGAAGCGAATCGAAGTACCTCTCTACACTATTGTCGCACAACTTCGATCAACTTCGCGAGTAATGTAGAGAGGCCATCACGATTAAAGCGAATTCTCTCCACAACAGAGTCCGTGTCCAGGTTCCATAGATGATAGATGTTTGCGCGTATGAAATCGCGGGTACAGCTAGTAAACGCAATAAACATTTTTGGATTGATTTATAAATTATAACACTTTACCTATCTGTTAAAAATAAATAAAAATTACGTACCGGTGGAGTAGACTTGCCAGCATTTCTACTTTCTCCAAGCTGTTGTATTTAGCCGTGTCAGCGACTTCACACAGGTATCGAACCCAAACTGCGTGAGGGGCCACGAACGGAGGCCTTGGCTCTAGTTTATAACCTAAAACGGTGATCGGCGATTGGTTGCGTGGTTGGAGGGTGGGCGTTGCGCGGCAGTTTGTTTTTAATTTTACAAACGGCTGCGTAAGTCCAGCGGTGATTGGTCGCATGTTTTATCGCATGAAGCAGTCGCTCGCTCCTTAAGTAGAGAAAGGTTGCTTTGGCTCGCCGCTCACTTAGCGGTTAGCCACCGTAGAGTCTATATCATCTGAGGATGCCTCGTGTAGAGGCGAACACGTGTCGTATTATCGTCAGTGGTGTGTCTTGCCTAGTGTAGTGGTGTTGGGAGTAGCGGTGCTGGGATCAGTGGTGACGGGGATAGTGCGTGCAATTGAGGGAGGGCGGGAGGTGCTCTTCATACTAGGTAAGACACATCATTTTATTTTATAACGCGGATATTTGCGAAGTAAATTTTCCTAAAAGTTTTTATATAATGGATTTCCGCAAAGTAATCCGCCTGATTCTATTAATTATAAGTATAAACACTTAAATTGCACTGTAGACGCCGGCAGTCTAGCGAGAAATCCCAACAAGTTCGGACTCGACGGTTGATCGGCCCGTTTCGTGCGTCATCGGACGATAACGGTCGTGTTTGTATACGCGGTCTCTTTCTTTTACAAGTGTTTGATTCGATCGTCCGAGTTCGGCCGTCGTCGCCCGAGCAAACTTCGGCCGATGACGGATTTGGTGTACGCGAACCCTTCCTTTCTTAATCCGAGTTTTAACATCACCTTGAAAACCTCACTTTTCTCTTATCACACAATTTCTCATTCTGTCATTCAGATTCAGCCCTTACTTCCTCCTTAATGACCGCATTTCTACTTCTGCCACACCCAACTTTCACTACCATACATTAAAGTAGCATTGTGAATTGCCATACGTGCCTATTTTGACACAATCTGACTTTCCACAATAGACATATAGAGATATAGAATAGAAAATCATTTTAATATTATCATATTCGTACCTTCATATGCTGCTAATGGACTAATCTCCTCGTGCTGCTTAGAAAATAATCCCATTTTTCTGTCGACGGTACATTGCCAAGCCGCGAAAATCTCTTGCAGTAGTCGCAGTTCCAAATCTGGTCTTGCTGTAGTCAACCATTGCCAGCATTCCACGGCAGTGGTAACCGCATCCTCCGTGAATATTTCCACTTGAGACCAGGCTGCAATGAAATGTTTTATTAGAGAGAGGCAAACAACATTGGATAAAATAAAAAAGAATTATTTCGATTTTGACTAAACGTTGTCTATGTGAATCTGCTGTATATATACACAATAATGCTACGTACATGTATACACACAAAAAATAAACTTTATAGAAAGTAAAGCAGACTCTAAAGCACTAAGAAAAATAAAATGATTTCCACATAATAGCTTCATAAGTCGTAGCCCCGACTACGTACATAGTGCATAGAAGTAGAGAGAGAAGCCCCAACTTTAGAAAATATTAAGCGGACTCTTTGACTTCGGCTTTTTCACGGAACACTCGACCACCCGCATGACCCGACCACCACCTAGCATACTATTTTTATTGTCGTACATATGCCAATATTTTAACAGTGGTAGAGCCACGCGGCAGCTTTTGCTGTTGCACGGATGGGCCGGCTCGAACCGGGGTAGTACCACGACCTCACAGAAAACCAGCGTGAAGTAGGGGTTTACCTCTGCGTTTCGCTTGGTGAGTGCAGGTGGCCGGAGGCCCTTTTTACTGGAAATGAGGCATTCCATCTTAGTCCTCACGGGTGACAACGCATCTACATTTTGATTTGTAACAGATGATAGGTGTAGATGTCTATGTGCCGCAGCAACCACTTACCATCAGGTGGACTGTGTGCTCGTATGTCACCCTTATCCTATAAAAAAAAAAGAAATATACATAGTGCATAGAAGTAGAGAGAGAAGCCCCGACTTTAGAAACTACTAAGCGGAAATTATTTTAATCTTCGACTTCGGCTTTTCCACGGAACACCCGACCACCACCTAGCATATCATTTCTACTGGCGTACATACGCCAATATACATAGTGCATAGAAGTAGAGAGAGAAGCCCCGACTTTAGAAACTATTAAGCGGAAATTATTTTACTCTTCGACTTCAGCGTTTTCACGGAACACCCGATCACCCGCATGACTTAGCATATTATTACCTAGAAATAATATGCCTAATCAGTTACTTCGTGATGTGTATGGCGAGTGATGTTTGTTTTCTTGGTTATGGAGTTAACAATTCGTACTTTTCCTAGTGTCGAGTACTTGAAAAAATTATTTTATAATAATTTATTTACAAAATTCTTCACGACAAAATTTAAGTTTACACAACCCGCAGAGGACTTGTTTGTTTGCAATATAATTATTAGTAATGCAACTTATACATGCGCCTGACACTGATTAAATAAAACCCTACCACTTTTAACAATATGTATCAAAGTTCACTTTAATTAGTTTTTTGAACACTAATACACTACAATAATATACACATTCTTCTTTTTTTTATAGAATAAGGGTGATAAACTAAAACACAGTCCACCTGGTGGTAAGTGGATGCTGAAGCCCATAGACGTCTACATTTATTCTCAATTAAGAATCAAAATGCAGATGCGTTGCTACCCCTGAGGACTAAGATAGAATGCCCCATTGCCAGTAAAAAGGGTCTCCGGTTCTCTACACTCACCATACGAAACATAGCAGCATTAAGCTGTTATTTTACGCTGATATTCTGTGACAGCGTGGTCCTACCCCGGCCAACCCATTGGTGCTGCAGCCACAATATCGCCGCAATATGGCTCTACCACGTTCAATAGTGTTATTCTGATGGATATCGTTTGCACATAGGATACACTTCACAACTATGTTATTATTTTTCATTAAGATATTATTTTGCATCAAAATAAGATATATAAAATAAACGCGGTAGAGCCATGCTGCAGCTATACTAATTGTATAGTTGTAGCACAATTGGGTCGACCGGAGAAGGTTTACGCTCTCACATAATACTAGAGAACTGGAGCCCCTTTTTACTAGAAAAGAGGCATTCCAACTTAGTCCTCACGGCTGACAACGCATCTACATTTTGATTCGCAAATGAGGACAGATGTAGATGTCTACAGGCCACAGTACCATCACATTACCATCAGCTGGACTGTGTGCTCGCTTGTCACCTTTATCCTATGAAGAAAAAAAAATATAAAATTTTTGTCGCCACTAAACAACAGCATTAGCATTGCTATGTTTTGGTCTGAAGGATATAGACAGGCAGTATAACCGGCTACGAGGCATTCCATCGTAGCTCTCAAAGGTGACAAAAATATTCGTTCCGTATCCGTTACAACCTATTAAAGTCTGAACATAGGCTTCAGCATCTCCCATAGATTGCCGCATAGGGGGATATTTTCCATAGTTGCCAAGTTTGGCAAGCGGGTTGGCAACCTAATTTTTAGTAGTTGTTATAAGGAAGACGTTGCTGCCCATATCCCGATTTGTTTTCCTCTGTCGCCTCTTACGACACCCACGGAATGAAATGGGATAGTGAATATTTTTACTTACACCGCCACACGTAATATATTTTAATATATTTAATAAATATTCATAGTGATGTTCAGAGGATAGATGTGGTCATATGTCAACTACCCTAACAAAACAATACATTCTAACAGAAGTAAGCGATCGTAAGTTTTAGGGCACAGTGTCAAATAGTTTGTGCATAACAATTTCAGTTGAGAATATTTTATGGTTTTATACTTTTTAAAGTGTGATTTCCTGAACCTCGCATCTCGGAAAGCACGTAAAGCCGTTGGTCCTACGCTTGATCTATCTCCGGTCGTGTCGGTTTGCCGTTCCATCGGACTATGAGAGTGAGGGAATAGAGAGTGCACCTGTGTTGAGCATACACTTCGGCACTATAATTTTGTCGTGTGCAGATGTCTGGTCTCCGTGGGGACTGGCCGCAGTGACAGAAATCCGATCCGGAGGACATTATTATTACTACTGTGTGCCGCGCGGTGCGCCGTCTCGCTCCCGCAGCGCCGCGTGCAGCTTCTACTCACCGACACTGTGCAGCAGCGCGCGCGCCGTGGGCGCGGTGTGCACGTGCGCGGTGGTGTGGTGGCGCGCGTGCACGAGCAGTGCGGTCGCGCGCCACAGCGCCGCGCGGTGCGCCGTCTCGCTCCCGCAGCGCCGCGTGCAGCTTCTACTCACCGACACTGTGCAGCAGCGCGCGCGCCGTGGGCGCGGTGTGCACGTGCGCGGTGGTGTGGTGGCGCGCGTGCACGAGCAGTGCGGTCGCGCGCCACAGCGCCGCGCGGTGCGCCGTCTCGCTCCCGCAGCGCCGCGTGCAGCTTCTACTCACCGACACTGTGCAGCAGCGCGCGCGCCGTGGGCGCGGTGTGCACGTGCGCGGTGGTGTGGTGGCGCGCGTGCACGAGCAGTGCGGTCGCGCGCCACAGCGCCGCGCGGTGCGCCGTCTCGCTCCCGCAGCGCCGCGTGCAGCTTCTACTCACCGACACTGTGCAGCAGCGCGCGCGCCGTGGGCGCGGTGTGCACGTGCGCGGTGGTGTGGTGGCGCGCGTGCACGAGCAGTGCGGTCGCGCGCCACAGCGCCGCGCGGTGCGCCGTCTCGCTCCCGCAGCGCCGCGTGCAGCTTCTACTCACCGACACTGTGCAGCAGCGCGCGCGCCGTGGGCGCGGTGTGCACGTGCGCGGTGGTGTGGTGGCGCGCGTGCACGAGCAGTGCGGTCGCGCGCCACAGCGCCGCGCGGTGCGCCGTCTCGCTCCCGCAGCGCCGCGTGCAGCTTCTACTCACCGACACTGTGCAGCAGCGCGCGCGCCGTGGGCGCGGTGTGCACGTGCGCGGTGGTGTGGTGGCGCGCGTGCACGAGCAGTGCGGTCGCGCGCCACAGCGCCGCGCGGTGCGCCGTCTCGCTCCCGCAGCGCCGCGTGCAGCTTCTACTCACCGACACTGTGCAGCAGCGCGCGCGCCGTGGGCGCGGTGTGCACGTGCGCGGTGGTGTGGTGGCGCGCGTGCACGAGCAGTGCGGTCGCGCGCCACAGCGCCGCGCGGTGCGCCGTCTCGCTCCCGCAGCGCCGCGTGCAGCTTCTACTCACCGACACTGTGCAGCAGCGCGCGCGCCGTGGGCGCGGTGTGCACGTGCGCGGTGGTGTGGTGGCGCGCGTGCACGAGCAGTGCGGTCGCGCGCCACAGCGCCGCGCGGTGCGCCGTCTCGCTCCCGCAGCGCCGCGTGCAGCTTCTACTCACCGACACTGTGCAGCAGCGCGCGCGCCGTGGGCGCGGTGTGCACGTGCGCGGTGGTGTGGTGGCGCGCGTGCACGAGCAGTGCGGTCGCGCGCCACAGCGCCGCGCGGTGCGCCGTCTCGCTCCCGCAGCGCCGCGTGCAGCTTCTACTCACCGACACTGTGCAGCAGCGCGCGCGCCGTGGGCGCGGTGTGCACGTGCGCGGTGGTGTGGTGGCGCGCGTGCACGAGCAGTGCGGTCGCGCGCCACAGCGCCGCGCGGTGCGCCGTCTCGCTCCCGCAGCGCCGCGTGCAGCTTCTACTCACCGACACTGTGCAGCAGCGCGCGCGCCGTGGGCGCGGTGTGCACGTGCGCGGTGGTGTGGTGGCGCGCGTGCACGAGCAGTGCGGTCGCGCGCCACAGCGCCGCGCGGTGCGCCGTCTCGCTCCCGCAGCGCCGCGTGCAGCTTCTACTCACCGACACTGTGCAGCAGCGCGCGCGCCGTGGGCGCGGTGTGCACGTGCGCGGTGGTGTGGTGGCGCGCGTGCACGAGCAGTGCGGTCGCGCGCCACAGCGCCGCGCGGTGCGCCGTCTCGCTCCCGCAGCGCCGCGTGCAGCTTCTACTCACCGACACTGTGCAGCAGCGCGCGCGCCGTGGGCGCGGTGTGCACGTGCGCGGTGGTGTGGTGGCGCGCGTGCACGAGCAGTGCGGTCGCGCGCCACAGCGCCGCGCGGTGCGCCGTCTCGCTCCCGCAGCGCCGCGTGCAGCTTCTACTCACCGACACTGTGCAGCAGCGCGCGCGCCGTGGGCGCGGTGTGCACGTGCGCGGTGGTGTGGTGGCGCGCGTGCACGAGCAGTGCGGTCGCGCGCCACAGCGCCGCGCGGTGCGCCGTCTCGCTCCCGCAGCGCCGCGTGCAGCTTCTACTCACCGACACTGTGCAGCAGCGCGCGCGCCGTGGGCGCGGTGTGCACGTGCGCGGTGGTGTGGTGGCGCGCGTGCACGAGCAGTGCGGTCGCGCGCCACAGCGCCGCGCGGTGCGCCGTCTCGCTCCCGCTCGCGCATGCCTCCCGCAGCGCCGCGTGCAACTTCGCGCCCACCCGCCAGATCGCCGCCTCGCCGCCGCCCTCCGCGTACACCGCACCCGACACCTGCAATATATTGCCTTTGGTTATGAACAATCACGGTTGTACTTTTGACAGTGTCCAACGATAGGAAATTATCCTTTAGGTATGATTTATTCAAAAAACTTCTTCACGAAGTGTGTGAGACAGGAACTTAGATATAACCAACTTTATCAGTATTATTTTAAAAGCGTCAGAAGATAGTTAGCAGCATCTTCCTGGTAATAAGTCAAAATAATAAAAATCTGCGTTCGCCAACTCACTGGCGAAGCGTGGTAATTATGACAAAATCCCCATGAGGTAATCTTAGGAAGAGGCCTATGTTCACGAATGAACTTATATAGGCTGTAGTGATAAATAGATAACTTTATGCGACATTATTAAGCCTGGCGTCGACTACAGCAGAAACGCGTCGAATCGAAGCGAGTTGCATTTATTCCTACTGCGTCCATATCTGACATATCGAATCGAATTGTTTATTTATCGCAAATTCTTCATCAAAATAGGTCGTTTTTGCGTCATCGACAGCTCGGATGAAGAGATGTTTTTATTTCATCGTGATAATGTGGGTCTTCATGATTAAATTATTCTGGATATTGTTGGACCAGCGATATCAAAAGTTCTTCATTCATTTTTATGTACTTAAACAAAAAGATTTTTACGAAAACGAAATAGAAATTAATTAAAATACGCTGGCGCGCATCCACTTCTCCGCATCGATTGAGGTGCGCCGAGTTGAATCGAATCGCATCGGTTAAGAAATTCGCCTGTTAAGAAATTCACCTGTCAAGCAATTCGCGCGGTCGACTCAATTCGGCGCGCCGCGGCTCGTCGCTAATGGACGCAGTTTCATAGTAAATATATACAAGGCGACTTTCTGCGATTCGATTCGACTCGGCTCGGCGAGCCCAGTGGACGCTTAGCCTTATTCTGTATTATTTGTATTTATTGTAAGAACAGGCGTATTGTTTATTGTATAGATATAGATATAAGCAGGGCGTGACCTCGCCGGCGAAGCGGCTGCGCTGCGAGACGACGGCGAGCAGCGCGGCGGAGTCGTGCGTGACGCAGGGCGGGCGCTTGTCGAGCGCGGCGCGCGGCAGCGGCGCCGACATGCGGTTGAGCCCCGCCGCGCCCAGCAGCGCGCCCGTCGCCAGCGCCAGCCCGCAGTGGTGCCACAGCGTCGAGTTCGGCACCTGCGCACCGCGCGACACATCTACACTCTACAGTACATACAACAATATCCACTACCCCATATCATCTATGATAAATATTCATTCCAATAAATTATTGTTCTTTCTAATAAGATTTATTAATGTCCTAGTAGCTCATATCGTATTACCGTGTAGTGGCGGTGTAACAGCATATCATCCATACGTTCTACAATCATATCATCTCATGGATGTAGTGAGAGGCGACAACAATGGGATTACAAATGGCGTCACATCTATTTACCTCTCGCTTGCACACTGTCTCTGTATATATTCAAAGCTGCCGGTAACGATAACAAAAAAAATAACGTTATTTTTTATTTGATTATCGCTATTCATGTGTTGCAATAAAAAGTTTATTGCAACACATGAATAGCGATAATCAAAGACCTGTCAAAGACTTTTTTCTTTAAAAAAAAAATCTCAGTTTTCAAGATAAAATATAGCCTGTGCACACTTATATTCAGAACGGCTTAACTAATTATAATAAAACTTCACTATATAGTCGCTAGTGTATAGATATAGATACTTTTCATTCTTTTAACTCTTTTAACGTGTTGGAGAAAAATCGACACAACATCCAAAGCTTGTTGGTAAATCTATTTATTAGATTAAAAAAATCGCGAAATTATAACTCGTCGATACTGTCTAGTTTCGACGAGTTATAATTTCACGAATCAGCAGATTCCTCAAACAGAACAAATTAGAACATTGGCGATGAAGGTTTATTCATCGTTGGAAAAATATAACTTTTCAAGGATAATTATTGCTAATATATACTTAGGAAGTAAAATATTAACTAAATACAAAATGTCTTCCAAATCGCTAGAGCAGTTTCCAAGAAACTATATTATACAAGAATAAATTGCTTAAAGTACTAAGATATAGTTATCCATAGATTACCTCCTAAAGCTGAACGCACATATGTCCGCGCCGTACGCGCCGTACGCGCCGAATTTTAGAATTCGTTGTATGAAATCATATGAAACCTCGCACACTACACCCGCACCGTACGCGCCGAATTTTATAAAATGCGGTAGGTATACGATATCGAAGGACGAATGCTGATGACGTCATATAACGCGGCGCGTTTGGCGCGTGTGGATACTCAGTGTTGTGTAATGTTGCCAACTTCGTGGATTTTCCACTAAAACTGGTGGTTTCGACTTTTGTTTCGAATTATATTTTTTAAGTGTTAAGTGTACACTGCGGTTAGAGAAAGAAATTGAAATTCCGATAAACGTTGTGAAACAAATTGGTACAAATAAATTATATCAATCTAAAACCGACGACGATGGTGTCGACAAAAATAATTAATCTGAAGAAAACGATTTAATTTAAAATAGCAGTTAATTAAATAATATATTCTTGATGTTGACTTGTTAATTTCCTATTGTATTTTGATTTATAGGCTAATCTATATTATTTATAAAATATATATATATATTTAATAAAATAAAAAGTAATTTACTACTTTTCTTCTTAGTAAGCTACAGCTTTTTTTCACCTCTTTGGTCGCGTCGAAGAAGTCTATCTACCAACTTGAAAAAGGAGGAGGTACTCAATTCGACTGTATGTTTTTTGTTATGTGTGTTACCTCATAACTTTGTTCTCCGTAAACCGATTTCGATGATTCTTTTTTTATTTGAAAGCTGGTGCTTCTCGTGAAGTCCCATATACATTTGATTAAGGTCTGACCAATAGTTTTTGAGTTATTCTTAATAATATATATTGAAGTCGGTTGTACAATTATTTTTATTTTAATTGTCTTATAAAAATCCTTTGCTCTGACCACGGCATATTTGTAAAAAAAAGATCAATTACTTTGCGCCGGTTTACTGAAATATATGTGCTACTTAAAAAAAACGCGATGTCGTTTGCCTATTCTATAATTATTTTATTCACGGTGAGTACCAAGACGATTGGACGTAAGAAACCAAGAGCGTCTTTTCATTTTAAAACTATTAAGTTACATTTTTTCATCTAAGTAATCGATGCAAATATTGTTAAAGATTACGTAGCAACTGGTTCGATAAGTTTTTTGTTTTATGTTGAATTTGAATACGTCTTTTCTAATAAAGAAATGTCATCTTTGATCAACATTTACGTCTAAAACTTTTACGATATTTTCTAAAATATTGATATTTTTGAATATTAAAAAAATTGAGTAGATGCGCCTTTTTATCTTGAGTCGAATGGTATATTTAACTCATTTTTCCAAAAATTGTTAGATGCGCCCTTTTTTCTTATGACGGCAGAATATGAATACTTAGTGATAAATTATGTAAATACATTAAACAAATTGATAGTGAATTCAAAAACTTAATTATACCTGATTACTTAATTATCAATAAAAATACTTACCTCAAACATACAACAAGTCTTTCCTCTGGTTCAATTGGCCTTCTATATCTTGAGTTTTCCATAGAAAGATATGGTTTTAATATATGTAACAATTCTTGAAATTTCTTGTATGTTAAATGCAAATATCTAAAAAATCGTTCATCATCATATAACAAGTCTTTAAATAAAGTATGATACTCTCCATACAATTGCCTTTTTAAATTAATATTATGAATCCAGAATCTTCTTTTTCTTCTAATTTTGTTTTCTTCTTCCTCTGCCAATAAACAGGCTATTACAATATTTTTTTCCATAGTGATTCCGAGCGATAAATGTTTTCAATCTAATCTATCTAATGTACCGTTTCACACCAGTGGTTGGAAAAAACTGCAAGAGTTGTTGGCAATCCAAAATATTTGCGTACGGCGCGGGCGGTGCGTGCGTGCTAATGTGCGAGGCCATCAGGAAAATTCGGCGCGTAAGGCGCGTACGGCGCGGACATATGTGCGTTCAGCTTAATAGATTCCGCATACAGGGCGACAAACGCGCGCAACACATACTTGCTGTAGCTAGCATACGAAACGAAGCTAAGAATCACGACATCAGTATCGACCAGGTTTGTGATCCGTAGGCACGTCCGAGTTCTTGACAATTTAAAAATAGTTTTGTATCCAAAATACATTACAAATGGCTTCCTGTGCAGTAAAATGGTGTGACAAGTCAGCTAAGACATCCAGTTATCAAAAAGATGGCATAAATTTTAATTGGTAAGTAAATTCCATTCTTATCACGTTAACCTATTTCAAATGCACCGGAGATCAACTTATACTGGTATATTAATGGTGCAAAGTGATAACAATTAAGCACCCGTTGATGTCTTTTTGAAATGTCCCTTTCACTCGTTACGTAAATTACAATAGTTGTCTTTGTCTAACAACAGCACGTGTATCGATAGTGTTGTGATTTTTAAGTCGATATTTGTTTGGTCATCGTTTATTTATTTTTTTCGAAGACATATTATTTTATAAAAATATATGTCTTCGAAAAACGTATACGTCACTAGTATCATTGTGATACTAGGTTTATAATTAATAGGTTTCCTAAATGCCCCGAAAGGAAAAAAAGATGTGGATCGATGCAAATTGTCGAGGGGACGAATGGTTTCCCACCAAAAATAGTGTACTATGCTCAAAACACTTCACAGAAGGCAATCTTCATAATATTATGAAAAATCGTATAAAGCTGTTGGATTCTTGCCAGTTTTGGTTTTTTGCATTTTTTTTAAAGATTAGTACTAACGTGGATTACACAATAATATCATTAAGTGGTTGAGTGAAACATGATATTCTTATATTTAGGTAAATGTTACACGTCGAAATCAAGCTATTTTGAACGGATTTATAAATCATAAAACTTGTAAAAGTTATAATGTGATTATTGTTTTGACTTGGTATTTAGTGTTACATGAACTTCAATATTATCTTATTATAATTATTAAGTACATCTAAATTTGGAAGACGTGCCGTATGGTGTATTAATTAATAATACTATATCGGTAATGTTTTAAAAGAAACGAATATGTATTTCTGATTTAGATTACTGGTTCACCGCTGAAAGACGCGAAAAACCCGCCAACACCTAAAAATCAGAGTCATTGCTTAGAAACGCCTACAAAACAAAAAAGAAAATTTTCTCCTATACCTGATACGCCATCTGCATTTGATACTCCAGTTAAAAACGTCTTTATAGAAGAATCATCGAATTAACCAACGTAATGAACAAAAAAGATAAAAAAGTTAAGTGATTCCAACAGAAGACTAAAAACACAAATAGTTTCTTTGAAGTCATTATTGGTAGAATTAGAAAACAAAAATTCATTAGCAGCGGAAAACAATGACGCATTAAGTTCCTTAGAAAAATCAAAATCTAGAAAATCAGGCAAAATTGTTAGAAAAAAATATTCACCACAATTAAGAGCTTTTGCACTCACCATAAATTACTCAGCTAGGCTTATAATCATGTACGCAAAACATTTAATACTTCTTTACCTTCTGTAAAAGCACTAGGAAAGTTTGTAGTTTTAACACAATCAATTGAGCTTAATTATAAATAATAATTATAATAAAATTATATATATATATATATATATATATATATATATATATATATATATATATATATATATATATATATATATATATAATAAAAATAATAAATATAAATAAATAAGCAGTTTTGTTAATGATGATATTTTTCATGAAATAAAAAAATCACCAATTCGATCACGAAAATTGTAATCATGTCATTGATTTAGCTAAGAGTGTTATGGAAAAATACATAGACATACTCGTAAGATTACTCTACTCATCCAGGAAGACAGATCCTAAGAATTCTGTGAGACAATTTTATACTACGATTATCCATTTCAAAAATCAGTCAAATATATATTTATAAATTAAATGTACAAATATATGTATACAATGTTTAATTTTTTAATAAACATCAAATAAAAATTGATCAATATATTTATTTATCATTATCAATAATTAATAAATCCCAAATTTATCGATCAACGTCCCAACCCTGTTCCATCACTATGGTTTGGTACATTCTAAGTTTGACCTTTAAATATCCAATCACAGCGCATTTGCCACGTCCCCCGCAACCCTTGCATAGGGTCAAATTTGGTGAACTCGAAACAGAACGAATATTCAATGATGCGGTATCTATTAGGAGGTAATCTATGTAGTTATCCAATCAACAAAATAAACATAACATATACCTGATACTATAGTTCATTCGCTTTAAAAAAATGTTCATCAGCCCCGACCAATCGGGTCGTAACAAATTAGAAATTCAAGTTCATAGTGACATCCAAAATTGCCTTACAATATAGTAAATATTTAGTAGACGAATACTGCAATAGTAATGGCATTGAAATTTTCTGACTGCCACCGTGCCATTGCAAACTCTATCCCAATTGAGTTGGTGTGGACCCAAGTAAAAATTTATGTTAATACCAATAACTCAACATTCAAGATAAATGATGTAGAAAAAATATTTTATGACACAATAACGTTAATAGACGCTAATTCATGGAAGAATGGCTGCAACCACGTGATATAAGACGAATATGACATGTAGAATTTGAATGACGTCATGGAACTCGCAGAAGAAAATTGTTTTATAATCTGTAGTGTTACTGATTCAAAAAAAATAATTAATGACCTTTATTTTAATCTGGGATAATTAATTTGATTTTTTCAATTAAACTTAATATTTTCAAATATATTTTTTTTTTAATTTTAATTATTCTACCTTTCCCTGCAGTTGCACTGATCACTATTTTCCTAACGAGAATGGACAATAGTTAGACATTTGTGTTGATTATTCGCACTATGCATAATGTAAATTAGCTAACGAGTTACTTTCACAATGTACTACAGAGAAAGCTTGATGCGGATTGGTGCACGAGATTATAAGTAAATTCGATAACTGCGGTACGTGAGGCTCCTGCGGTCCATTTAAGTGAGCTGTTTTTACGCTCAATGAAAGTTCCAGATCCAGGTCCGAGGCTCACTTTTAGAACAAAATACACAAAACCGATATGAGTTTGCTACTCGGGAACCTTTTCTCTCCTTAGAGTAACAGTTTTTAATTTTGTCTCGTAGATCTAAAAATAAATTAAATTACCTGATTGAGATATTCTTGGAGATGTGATCGAGTAGACTGTGGCGCCCACTTCATTGCCTCTTGGACTATTCCGTGACAGCGATCCGCAAAATCTTTTACAATGCCCTGCAACAAACAAAACAAAGGTAATTTCATTTTGGACGCAAATAGTTTTCTATGAAAAATGGAAAGAAGATCTTATTACTACCGAGAGATGGCAGTATAGGTGTCCAATTTACCCCAGACATGTATACCTAAATTTGTGACGGGGCACGGCGTCAAAGAACCTTTGATACTACGACCATCAACCAAGTGTGGCAAATATAAGACAAGTGATAAAATTAAAAATTTTGTACAACCGACTTCAATATAAATTATTAAGGCTATCTCAAAAACTAATTACTGGTCAGACTAGATTCAAATTTATATGGGACCACATGAGAAGCACCAGCTTTCAAATAAAAAGAACCATCAAAAACGGTTCACATAGAAAAAAGTTATGAGGTAACACACATAAAAAAACATACAGTCGAATTGAGTATCTCCTCCCTTTTGAAGTCGGCTAAAACTCATTCAACGGCAGGAACACAAGTCGAACAAAGGACTTTTACGGGTGATAAAGAACAAACAAGGAATAAAGTATAAATAAGCAGTAAATTCACAAGTTACCTCCCGTCCTTCCAATGTATCCTGAAGCTGGAGGGTGAAGTCAGTACCAGGTACTTTAAGAAGCGGCGTTTCTTGGTTAGCGTCGAGCTCCAAGCTAAAACTCAGTACTTGAAGTATGTCCAACATCGACCATAGTACCTGGAAATTTTACAATTCAAATAAATAGTAATCTAATATATAAAAATTAATGTTTTTTTATAGGATAAGGGTGATAAACGAGCACACAGTCCACCTGATGGTAAGTGGTTGCTGTGGCCCATAGACATCTACATCTATCTTCGATTAAGAATCAAAATGCAGATGCGTTGTCCCCCATGAGGACTGCGATGGAATGCCTCGTTTCCAGTAAAAAGGGTCTCCGGTTCTCTACACTCACCATACGAAAAACAGCAGCGTTAAGCTGCTATCTTACGCTGGTATTCTGTGAGAGCGTGGTCCTTCCCCGGACGAGCCGACCCATTCGTGCTACAACTATACTATTAATATAGCTGCAGCATGGCTCTACCACGTAGAAAAACTTTGTTTGTTCGTATTTCATGCGCTGCCATACCGTCCATAAGATTGCGGTAAAATTTTGTCAACTTGTTGCTTGCACTTGCGCGAAGGTTATACGCATAGTACAATTAACTTACACTAGGTGGCGCGCGTATCGTACCAACAAATTTATTTCAAAGTTATATATCATTACATTCAATGAATGTATTATCATTCCTAAATAAACAATATAACTCTCAAAATTAAAACGATATTTCCACAATTATTTCTTCTGCGGCAGCAACGCGACGAGTACAGCTAGTTTGGAATAATATATTCACTACAAGTGCAAGTGTTTTAAGGCCTAAATGAACCACGTATTTGTATATACTTTTTTTTAAAACGCGTCATAGTTACGGTTTCGTTGTTACAATAAAGTAAAGTACATCCTATATACAGTTAGTTCTGCAGCATATTCCGTAAAAAAGATTAGAAGTCTAACTAGTGTTGAAACAGCTAGACTAGTTTACTTTAGCTACTTCCATAGCATAATGTCGTATGGTATTTTGTTATGGGAACACGCAGCTGACACTGAAATTATATTTGTTTTACAGAAGAGGGCCATAAGAGCAATTTATGACTTAAAGCCTAAAGAGTCGCTGCGACAAAAATTTAAGGAAATTAATATATTAACTTTGGCCTCTCAATACATTTATGAAAATGTAATGTACGTACACAAAAATAAAAGTAGTTTTACAAAAATAAGTGATATTCATTCTGTAAATACTAGGAACAGACACAAGCTAGTAGTACCAGTTACTCGACTCCATCGAGTCAGTAATTCATTCTTGGGGCGATGTATACGCTTTTACAACAAAATTCCAGAAAATATACAAAATTTTACCTGCTCAAAGTTCAAAAACTTTATTAAACTAAGTTTGTATAAAAAGGGTTATTATAATATTAAAGAATTTATAGATGATAATAACTCCTGGAAATGAGGTGACCGCTACCAAGCTATTTCTAATGTGTTGTGTTGTTAATTTGTGTAACATACATGATTGTAAGCTGTTATTTAAAAAAAAAAGTCCCGCTGGGTTTCTTGCTGGTTCTTCCCAGGACAGAGGTTTTTTTCGAACCAGTGGTAATTATACAAAAGAGTGACTTTCAATAAGTATTATTTATGATCTATATTGAATAAAAAAGTTTGATTTTTAGCCCATGTGGACTATTCACGGGCTTAAAATGATGATACTGCCCGTTCTTTTCGTGACGTTCATCTATTGGTCGTGAACCATGGGCCAAAAAAAGTTATTCAGTTTTCATGTCAAGAAATTCTATTATTTATTAGTATTAACCCCGTGCCTGGGAGAGAACGTAAGGTCCTGCGAATGACCTCTCTTCGATCGGGTCGGTTTGCCGTCCAATAGTATTATGAGAGTGAGGGAATAGAATGTGTACCTGTGCTTGTACATACATTCTAGCACTATAATCTTGTCGTGAGCAGTTGGTTGGTCTCAATTGAGACTGGACGTCATGACTGAATTTCGGTCTGAATCATGTTAAATTTTACTTACCCGACAATTCCATAACAGATGCGGGAACCGATCGACCAATCCCGCCAGCCATTTGTCGGCAACGCGTCGGATTTGTTTGTGGATGTGATTGAAGTTGACTAGAAGAAACTGAGCGTGGCCCTCGAGCTCGCGCTCCCTTGATTCATCCTTTACTTTGGCTGACATTACATCTAGAAACTTCTGGAATACTTTGTCGCCAACGCTGATCGTAGTAGAAAATAATTAGTTTTAATTTATATGCTTTAAATACAAAAGCAGTCAAAAATTACGTTTGTGTTTACTGTGAGTCATGCACATTTAGGGCTATGCTCGGAGTTTCTCTGCGTGATAAACTCAGAAATGAGGATATCCGCAGTAGAACTAGAGTGACCGACATAGCCCAACGGATTAGTAAGCTGAAGTGGCAATGGGCCGGCCATATAGCTCGAAGAACCGACAACCGATGGGGAAGAAAGGTTCTCGAGTGGCAGCCTCGTACCGGCAGGCGAAGTGTAGGGCGTCCCCCCACTAGATGGAGTGACGACCTGGTAAGATATGCAGGAAATCGATGGATGCAGGTGGCTCAGGACCGTGCTTTGTGGCATTCTTTGGGGGAGGCCTATGTTCAGCAGTGGACTTGTGAAGGGCTGTAATGATGATGATGATGAATGATGCACATTTGTGTATATAAACATAAAATATGCCATTATATTAAAATCATTAACAACCACCCCCAGCATAAGTAAAAATCTAATTAACTACAGAACCAATATATGTTATTGGCATTATAGGCTGTCCATAGATACAAAACGTTCCACGATTAAAAATCAAAATTAAGATTCGTTATCACGCCTGAGGACTAAGATGTAAGGAGAACGAATGCTTCTTTAGCAGTAAAAAGTGTCTCCAATTCTCATCAGACTAAACGGAACACTATTTGAATCGGGTATTATGTCTTTTCCCGAACGAGCGGATGAATTCCCGCTGCAGCCATAATAAGCTACAGCGTGGCTCTATTATTGACATAAACTTAAACTTAACCCACTTAAAGGAAAAAGTATGTTTATCCAAAACTTTTTTAATGTTTTCGAAACAAGAAAATCCACAAAATTCAAACCGATTTTAAGTTTAGCAACGCAACTACGTTTAAATTTAAAATACGTTTATGAGATTTTAATAGTTAAAGGGTTTTTATAACTAACTTCATATATAACATACCTTGCCACGCATTGCCACATACCGCTCTTGTCTTTTTGAAGGGCTGTATCACTCAAATACTCTATAATCGGCTGCAGGCTTGGCTCCGAAGAGTTGCACACCCTAAGAATACACAGTGTTCAGTCAAATAAAGTAACTAAAGCTTTAACATTACGTCTTATCGAATATCGGTTTGCTCGTGCTCTACCCGTGAGTGGTGCAACCTACCTTACCTATTCCAGAGAGCAAATTCATGAAATTTAAGTATAAACTGTTACGTATATAGGAAAATAATATTCTTGTAAATAATGAAAATATTATAAATTTAATAATACTATGTCATAATTACTAGCAACCTGTAAACACAATCCAATGGCATGACCCATCGAAGGAATTTGTCATAATGAATACCATAGAACTTATCCATTTATACATTATAGTGTATTATAGAGATCTATTATAAAGATCACAGCCTAAGTCAGCAGCTGTAGGCTTCCCCATAGATTGCTTCAGATGGGAATATTTGCTATAGTTACCACGATTATCCGGCGGGTTGGCATCGCAGCTTTTTTTTAAATAATTATTTTGACTTATTTCTAGATAGAAGCTACTGTTTGCTGTTTTAGTTTCTCTCTGCAGCCTTTTACGATACCCACGAGATTATATGGGATGGTGGATTCTTTTACGCCGCCATAACACGGCGATATCATAAAAATATTTAAAAATATATTTTAGGATGGGTCTTGAGTTTATACAATGTTTTCCTAGCATATCCTCTGATCCGAGTTTCTTACAGACCTGGCCCCCACACTAGGTTCTTCTCCTGTATCGTGGATGCAGTTTACATTCATAAACTGCAAAAGGACAAACATCCAGACCCGTAACAATTATTTGTAGGCCATACAAGCATTTGTTTCGTGCGGGATTAAAAACCGCGACCCTCAGCGGCGCACCACAGAGCCGTCAATAGAAAAGATATCATACTTATAAAAAATAAAATAATCAGTTCTGTTTCAAATCAACACTTACCTCAAAGTCTCTAACCAATAAACGCTCAGCAAGTACATGCACGGGGCGAATGTCAACTTATTAACAATGACAGTGACATCTGGCGGATGATCTAGCAGATTCAGTATCTGTGTCTTTAGCTCTTGCAACTCCGTGAGCGATACCGAATCGTTTCTTACAGCTGAAGTATACTGAAGCTCCCTCATTTCAGACCGTAATGACGTTTGTGAGACAAGGAAAGGTGACTTGACAGCTATTTCTTTCACACCCGCATACCACTCCTGTGGCCATAGACCTGTCAAAGTGTTGCGTTGTATATTTCTGATATATTTTTGAGAGTAATTTTTAGAAATTGTTTTAAAACACAAAACTTTTGTAGATTTTAACGGCTAATATTTCTTATATATAACATAGGTATATATATCTTTATAATTGTTATGTTTTGTTTAAATTAATATTCTTTATAATTTTTTTCTTATTAATAAAAAATAAACAAATTTAACGAATTAACATTTTAAATCAGCTGGGATTATATAAGTATTCAAAGTGAATATTACGTTACATTATTTTACTAACACGCTATCATTTAAGGCAAAAAATAAAAATAAAAACATGAAAAAAAAATTCACTCACTCAAAATTAAGGCAGAAATATATTAACAATTTTAAAATTCTATGCAAATTATAAATTCACTTGCATGGCATTCTAAACAAGCACACTCTTTCATCAAATAAAATCTCATTACACATTTTTACACAAAGTTACCCAAACTCTTAACAAACGTGCACTTTACTCAATGCTGCACGTAATGGACACATTGCGGGGAAGTTTTGAGATGGTGCTATATAAAAATTAACTTCCCAAAGCTTTTGCAGTTGTTATCATGTTCGTAAAAATATGCGTACCTAAATTTAAAAAGAATATCTTAAAAGGTATGTTAATAATTTAAATATTTAACTTTTTAACACATCATTTTGTTTTAATGCGCATTGCAATATTTTTAAATTGTTACCACATTTTAAACCTTTTTGTATATAAGAAAAACGATTTAGAATACTAGCATAAAGCAATTTTAGTGGTGAGTAAAAGCGCAGAATCGTTTGTTCAACTAGAACGATGCAATCCACCTTCCATGTTTAATTTTTAGAGGCCAACTTTTAATTGTTTCTTTGGGATTTTGGTAGAATAAAAATACTTTAACGGATTTAATCGCGTTTATTTAAGTTGCTTCCCCAAATATAAGAAATCATTATTGGTCTTTATGAATGTAAGTTTGTCTCTGTCGTTCAACATCATTAAATTTTTAGTAACCATTAAAAGGTAATTAATCTGGTTTTATTATTATATCGCCATAAAACTATAAAGCAAAGCAATAAGAAAGCACTTCTATGGAAAAGAAATCGTTAATGAAACTATTAGTTTAAAAAAATAACATTATCAAATTATGTATAATCAATAAGCTATAACTATTACAGACGTCACAATATAAGTCATGTAAATAATCTGTATAAAATATAGCACCATATCAGTTCACTAATCACCATTGAAAAAAAAAACCACAAACAACTATTTTCTAAAAGCATCATTTACTCACGCTTTCGCATGGCTACAGGCGTGGCCATAGAAGAAGAGACAACAAGGTGTTTAAGTACGTCTATATAAACAGGATAGAATAAATGTATTCAAAAGGCAGTAATAAATATAGGAGTGGATAAGAGCTAAATTGAATCCAAAGATAACAAACTTAGAGGTCAAATTAGAGCAATTTACATTGTGGGTCGAATTATAAGTATAAAAGTTCATGAAAAGTTAATGAGGTAGTTACCTGATTCAGCGGCTGTAAAGCCCATAACTACACAGTAAAGCCAAAAATCTTTGAACAGTTTGTGTAGTCTTGGTTTAGGATTCTTTATGGGAGGTAATCTTTTGACAAGAACCTGTAACAATTAAAAATTGCTATACACAATAAAAAAAAGAACTTTAAAATATTGACTAAAACGACACGAAGGGTACGAGTACGCGGGAAGCGCTATTATTAGTTACATCAAGTGTGTGACAGTGACAGACTTATGTAACAGAGTGTGACGCAAAGTGTGTGACAGTGACAGTGAGAGTAAGATATAAGATAGTGTGACGCACCGCGATGACGGGTATGAGCACGCCGAGGTTGCCGGCGCTGGAGGAGGCCTTGAGCACGGGCGCCGGCGAGCGGTCGGTGGCGCGCTCGCCGCCCAGCCCCAGCTGCACGAACAGCTCCAGCAGCCGCGTCAGCAGCTCCAGGCGAGCGCTCGTGCCGCGAACGTTCGCCGCGATGTTCGCCAGCGCGTTCAGCACCGCGCCCGATACGTGCCTGCCACAACCGGAAACTTCCTTGCACTAATCGATATATATGTACTACGTATTAGATTTCGCATTCCGAACATACACTATGTTCAATTAAACTGTTTTTTTTTTATGGGATAGGGTGACAAACGGGCACACAGTCCACCTGATGGTAAGTGGTTGCTGTGACCCATAGACATCTACATTTATCCTCGTTTGCGAATCAAAATGCAGATGCGTTGTCAGCCGTGAGGACTAAGATGGAATGCCTCTTTTCCAGTAAAAAGGGTCTCCGGTTCTCTACACTCACCATACGAAACACAGCAGTGTTAAACTGCTATTTGACGCTGGTATTCTGTGAGAGTGTGGTCCTTCCCCGATCGAGCCGACCCATTCGTGCTATAACTATACTACTAATATAGCTGCAGCGTGGCTCTACCACGTAAAAACTAATAAAATACTATAAATGCGAATAAAGATTCAGACAGGCCGTTGCCAAACTAGGGCTCTAGGGGGCGCCGACCCCATTACAAATAATATAATAAATACCCAATTTGTAACTGACTTGTTTATTTGTAATTTAAATGTAGTTAATTAGTTCAACTTAATTCCTTGTCATTTATGGTATGTATAGCTTGTATGATTAGTGAGGGTTAATAATCTTCCACCCACCAGATGTCGCTAGTTGACACTGAGGTGAGGATTTTTGTGGCACAATGTTATTTAATTAAGAAGTTAGTTTTAAAAGTTTACCACTTTCTAAAGTATTATAATCAATACACTAAACAATGCTCCAGTTGTTTGCTCTTTTAATTTTTTGCACATTTTTAACTCTTCTTTTTTTCTACTTTTATGAATATCTGTGGTTTGGTTTACATATTTTTTATCTAATTAATAAACTAATAATACAGAAATAAACCTTAACCTTTACAATTTTTCCAACAAATTAACTTCCGCTCTATGCAATCTGTCAAATATTACACCTCATTTTTAAGTAGCGGCGCCCTGGTGGCAGAACAAGTCGTGGATGTCTTCATTGGTGGACAAAACAAAATGTCTGCTATACATTTATATTTATAATTCATAACGTTCCTACTAGTACGATTCACAAATTTAGTATCAATCTAAAAGTAATGTCACTTACCTATATTGCTTTCTATCATCAGTGTGATGATAAGCGGCACTTGCTGCCTCAACGGTGATAACGGTAAACATCCGCATGATCTCGTCATGCGCCGATCCTTCGGGACTAGCTAGAGCCATACACCCCAACTGATCTACAATCAGTGTGTCTAAAGACGACGGCGCCCTACATAATCTGCGGATGACGATAAAATGTTCAAATCTGTATCAGCGAATCAAATTTTGCAGTTTTACGCAGAAACTATAGGATCTACCAAAAAAAAACTATGGTACTTCTAATAGCATAAAGTGTAACATATTAACAAATGATAAGATACTTTCAAATTTAAAGTTTAGTACTAAGAAAAGTCTTAATGATACTCCAGTGTTTTTAATAGGTGTTATGAGGGTCAATATTAGACGGCGATAACGCAAAACAAAAAAAAATATCCAAGTTTGTTTTGAAGTTTTATAAATATTTAACATGCTATAAACTTTAAATAAAATCAATTTTTATGCATTTTATTCAGTTTGATTAAGATTTTATCAAGTTTTACCAAACCAAATTAAAAACCTTATAATATATTTTTATTCAATGTGTACATAAGAATTTTCTTTAATCTTTATTGCATTCCCTTAGAAAAAAAAAGGATACAAAGGTTGAACTTAATAACTAAAGGCATTCTCTACCAGTCAAACCATGGAGTGGTGAGAATTTGACGTAGGTAGGTATGAAACAAAAAAAAACTTAAATAAATACATTATAAGTAACAAAATATATTTTGATATAATATTGTAAGTAAATACATTTAAATCCGTATATTTACATATATTAACACATATTAAAAATATAAATATATACGAGTACACAAATACGGAAAATACAAAATTAATACATACGTACAGTAATTCTAATGATTCCTTAGTAAATGCTCACGAACCAACTTTTTAGAAAAAAAAATCGTTACGCAATAATTTGTATAAAGACAGGTATTATAAACTTACCTTTGTTGGAAGAACTGTAGTATGGTGTCTGTAGTCTTTGGTGTATCTTTCAACGCTACAGCGACGTGACCCAACATAATTACTATATTTGTACTTATTAGAGATGATTCGCTGAAAGAAAAGGAATAGTCATTGTCTAATGTGCTTTTGAAGCAAAACAGTATTTTAAATGCTACATATTATGAGGACGCGCAAGAGAATCAAATAGTTCATTAAGGACTGTATTAAAACTAGAGGATGGAAGCAACTATAATCACTTGCTAAGTGTGACAACTTTTGGCGGAGATCTAATAAAATAGTTACAGATATGAGTTTATGATAATTGAAAACAGTGTCACAAGTTTAAGTTGAAATAGCAGCGAGAGATGACATTTGTGCAAAAATATAATTTGTTTGTGTTCGAGTGTGAATGTGGACGAACATGTGGAATGCTTTGATATACAGGTTAGTACCTAAGTACCATGCTCAATTTTAACCCTTTCTCTGTCGCGTGTACTACATATAAGTCATTCCTGTTGTCTTACTATTTTGACTGAAAATCGGACAGTGAAAGTGTTAAGTTGTTGATTGTAACTGGTTTTGAGAAGCATGTACAGATGTTAGGTGTTGCGTGTTAGTTAGACATGTAGGTATGAAAATTTTCTGATCATGTCAGAATACAATTGGCTACTTATAGTAAATATAATATATATCTAAATATAGTATGGCTAAACTATAGCTGTAAACTTCTGGAAAGTTTAAATCGTGTTAGGTATGTAATGTTTCATTATTAATATAAATGTTATGATCAAAAACATTTGGTTTAATAAATAACACTATGTAATAGAATCAGAGTAACTGACATAGCCCAACGCATCTGCAGCATGAAATAGCTATAGACAGGCCAAATACCTCACAACCACAAACGTTGGGGAAGAAAAGTTCTCGAGTTCCCCGACTACGTGGAGTGACGATCTAGTAAGAAATGCAGGTAGTCAATGGATACATGTGACTCAGGACTGAATTTTGTGACATTCCTTGGCGGAAGGCCTATGTTCAGCGTGGACTTGTAGAAGGCTGCAATGATGATGATGATGGTGAAAGAATACAGTTTATGAACAACAAATCATCATTCATCATCATTACAGCCCTTCACAAGTCCACTGCTGAACATAGGCCTCCCCCAAAAATGCCACAAAGCACGGTCCTGAGCCACCTGCATCCATCGACTTCCTGCATATCTTACCAAGTCGTCACTCCATCTAGTGGGGGGACGCCCTACACTTCGTCCGCCGGTACGAGGCCGCCACTCGAGAACCTTTTTTCTCCAACGATTGTCGGTTCTTCGAGCTATATGGCCGGCCCATTGCCACTTCAGCTTACTAATCCATTGGGCTATGTCGGTCACTCTGGTTCTACTGCGGATATCCTAATTTCTAAATTTATCACGCAGAGAAACTCCGAGCATAGCCCTCTCCATAGCTCGCTGTGCGACCTTGAGCTTCCTCATCCGGCCAGCAGTGAAGGACCACGTCTCAGTACCATAGGTCATCACTGGCAACACGCACTGGTTGTACAGTCTTGTTTTCAAGTTTTGAGGTATACCTGACGAGAAGATGTACCGTTATTTCCCGAACGCTGCCCATCCGAGTTGAATCCAGCGATTGACCTCTCGGTCGAAGTTGGACTTACCTAGTCGGACTATTTGTCCCAGGTAAACATACTCGTCAACAACTTCGAGCTTAGTGTCCCCAACATCTACCGGCATAGGTGTGACATGGACATTAAACATGGTCTTTGTTTTGTCCATGTTCATCTTAAGACCTATCCGTTGGGAGACACTATTGAGGTCAATGAGCATGGTGCTTAGGTCCTCCAACGATTCTGCCATAAGGACTATATCGTCGGCAACTCGAAGGTGAGTGATGTACTCGCCATTGATGTTAATACCGTATCCTTTCCAGTCCAGAAGCTTGAAAACGTCTTCCAATGCAGCGGTGAAGAGTTTCGGGGATATCACGTCACCCTGTCTTACATCTCTCTGCAATTGGATAGGTTTCGTACTATGGTTCTGTACTCGGACAGCCATCGTAGCTCTACTGTACAAGCACTTCAGCACTTCGATATACCGACAGTCAAGTTGGCATCGCTGAAGGGACTGCAGCACCGCCCAAATTTCGACGGAATCAAAGGCTTTCTCATAGTCCACATACGCCAGACATAGTGGCAAACTGTACTCCTCGAACTTCTGTACAATTTGACGAAGGGTATGTATGTGGTCTATGGTGCTAAAGCCTTTTCGAAAACCGGCTTGTTCGGGAGGCTGGAAGTCGTCAAGTCTGCGCGCGAGACGATTCGTAATGACTCTCGAAAACAGCACGTAGACGCAGCTCAGATGGGAAATCGGTCTGTAGTTCTTCAAGAGAGCGTTGTCACCTTTCTTGAAGAATAAGACTACCGCACTTCTGCTCCACGCCTCCGGTGTAGTGCCACCATGGAGGACGGAATTAAAGAGCTTCTGAAGGACTTCAAGTACCGGTTTTCCACCCGCTTTCAGAAGCTCCGCTGTAATTCCATCCTCGCCTGGGGCCTTGCCGTTTTTAAGGTGCTGGAGAGCCATTCTAATCTCGCTCAGACTGACGTCCGAGATACCATCGGAATAGTGTCGGATAAGACTCGCTCTTGGATCGTTACTCACACTTACGTGTGGCTTCAACGATGATGTGTACAGCTGCTATATAGCTGCAGGTTTTCACCCTCGCGATCACTGAGACATCACTGAACAGTTGTCGTCTGGTCGTTATAATGAAGTCAATCTCATTTTTTGTCGAACCGTCGGGGCTCGACCAGGTCCACTTCCTGTGGGGCCACTTCTGGACGAAAGAGTTCATCATAAAAATTCCCTCTTTCTCCATGAAGTCGGCCAGCTGCTGGCCCCTTGGGTTCGTTGCCCTATTCCGAAATTCCCTACTTTCAGCTCACCGTTCTCTCTTGTGCCTAGTTTTGCGTTGAAGTCTCCCATTAACACCGTATAGTGGATTTTGGAGGAATGCATGGCTCTAGAGATATCCTCATACATTTCCTCCACCTCCTCATCGGGGTGTGCCGAGGTTGGGGCGTAAACCTGTATGACCTTCAGCAAATACCGTTTGGTGATTCTGAGTGTAAGGTACGCAACACTCGTCGATACACTCCCAATCTTTACAACGTTGTTAACTAGAGACTTGTGGACGATAAATCCGACACCTCCTTGGGACAGGTGATCGCCCTCCCGGTGATAGAACAAATTGCCGGATTCGAGGATTACCGTGTCCTCCCCCTCTCTTCGGATTTCGGATAATCCTATGACATTCCAGCGCAACTTGTCTATCTCTTCTTCCAGCTCCAGGATCTTCTCGTCAGTCCTAAGGGTGCGTTCGTTATATGTTGCCAGGTCGAGTCGTCGTAGGTGGCAACCGAACCTCCACCGGAGATTCTTAGCACCCCCTGCCTCGCCGTTACCATGGTCGCCACCATAGCCAGGAATAGCGGGGCCGCCGGGGACTGGGGGCCGTCTCTTCGTTACTTTCATGGGGAGTATATTGCCATAGTTCCCACACTTGGCGAACGGGTTGGCAACCGCAGTTTTTTTATTGTTCTTATTGCTGTTATCAGAAAGATGCTGCTGCCCATCATCTGCCTCAGTTTCCCTCTGTCGCCTTTCACGACACCCACGGGAAGATATGGGGTAGTGAGTATTCTTACCCGCCACTACACGGGGAGGAACAACAAATAAGCAAAACTAAATAAAGTAACAGGCTTTATATGTTCTACTGCTAGGCACAATCCGTCTTTTATTTTGAAGCAAGGCAAAGTCTACCGCACAGTCTACTTGGAAGCAAGTTAATATCAATTTACATATTTGATTAAAATCCTCTTACCTGTCACTGGTTTCAGCGGTAAACAGTCGATTACTAACGGAACCAACGAGGGCTGGCACACAATATGGGTCCATAGTCAACGCCGCCTCTAAAGCCACACATAGGTTCTCTATCGCCGCGTCTCGAAGCTTCTCGAACGGCGTAGACTTTACTGGAACACCGGTAGATGTCATGCCTTGTAATTCTTTGCCTTGTACTGAAAATTTTCGTTAAAATAAAAACAATAAGACTTCATATCCAATGATGGTGTAAGAAAATACATCAGTCCATTCCTTTGCCAGCATGCAATAGAATTATACTTGTAAGAGTATCCATTAGGTATTTCATTGTGCGGGTGTCGTAGAAAACGACAATGGGGAATGTCCGATAAAGGCCAATGACCAAAATCAGAATCACTTTAATAAAACAGTATAGCTACAAAAATATACTCATAGATTATAAAATATTTTTTTTAAACTTTTCTTAGTTAACTTGATCGAAATCGTATGTGTGGTTAATATTTTGTGTCTAATTAGTTACTTATTCGATTTTATTGCATTATTTTTTAAATGGCGTACTTTAGTAAAAGCAGTGTTGCCAATTTTAAGAACCTCCAGGGCAGATGCGGAGTTTTAAAAATAATTTCTACTATGATATTTTTCCGCCTTATTAATATTTTTATTTTTAATAAACATAATTAAAATAATATTACTTTACTAATTAATAATCTTTCTTTAGTTTTACAAATCACTTATGGTCAGGGAGGGTGATTTAGATTAACTGTTGGTAATACTACCGCGGGAAATGAAAGATTAACTGTGAAAAGTGTCTCTGTCAAGTAAAACAAAGCATCGTGTCAATCAAGCATTATTTTCTACTCCCCATATATAAAAACTACCTACATTTAGTATGACCTACCACCTACCATTGTAATATTATTTACTTGGGATCATTCATTGGTTTATAATTAATAGAATCAGGCGTTACTTTGCGGAAATCCATTATATAAAAGCTTTTACAAAAATTTACTTCGCAAATATTCGCGTTATAAAATAAAATGATGTGTCTTACCTAGTATGAAGAGCACCTCCCGCCCTCCCTCAATTGCGTGCACTATCCCCGTCACCACTAATCCCAGCACCGCTACTCCCAACACCACTACACTAGGCAAGACACACCACTGACGATAATACGACACGTGTTTCGCCTCTACACGAGGCATCCTCAGGTGATATAGACTCTACGGTGGCTAACCGCTAAGTGAGCGGCGAGCCAAAACAAGTGCCTTTTATACAAACCGATGACGCAACCGCTCTCTACCTAAGGAGCGAGCGACTGCGTCATGCGATGAAACATGCGACCAATCACCGCTGGACTTACGCAGCCGTTTGTAAAATTAAAAACAAACCGCCGCGCAACGCCCACCCTCCAACCACGCAACCAATCGCCGATCACCGTGAGGGTGACAAACGACCATATTGTGAGGCTCTATTATTAGAGAGCAGGCTTGAAGATATTTAAGAGAGGTGAGTTAGTAACATTTGTTTGTTCATTCAGCAATGCAACGGTATTATTATTACTTTTTAATATCTCTAACTGTTCCAGCACACACAGCCGCAGCCCTTTATTACACGTATGTAAGACTAAAGGAGTGGTCGTTGGCTAGGTTGTGTCCAGTGTCCAAAAGATGTTTGGCAAAATGGGATTTATCGGGATTGCAATTCCTGTACGCGGCTAAATGCTCTTTATAACGTGTCTCGAATCTGCGACCAGTCTGACCCACGTAAACGGCGTGGCATTCGTCACAAACAAGTTTGTAAACACCTGACTTTTGACGAATATCCAACTTATCTTTACTATTACAGATATTTCTAAGAGAATTGTTTCTTTTGAACGCCACATGAACGCCGTTTTGACGAAGAGTATTAGCTACTTTTTCAGATATGGGGCCTAAGTAGGTCAAACTGCTCACATATCGATGAACACTTTGAGATTGAACCGCGTACAGAGAGTTGCGAATAACATGCTTTTGTTTCTTTTTAATTAAATTGTTAATGAGATTTTTTGAAAAACCGTTAGAGACCGCTATTTGGTAAATTATATTAAGTTCTTTTACTTACTCCTTTAGTCTTACATACGTGTAATAAAGGGCTGCGGCTGTGTGTGCTGGAACAGTTAGAGATATTAAAAAGTAATAATAATACCGTTGCATTGCTGAATGAACAAACAAATGTTACTAACTCACCTCTCTTAAATATCTTCAAGCCTGCTCTCTAATAATAGAGCCTCACAATATGGTCGTTTGTCACCCTCACGGTGATCGGCGATTGGTTGCGTGGTTGGAGGGTGGGCGTTGCGCGGCGGTTTGTTTTTAATTTTACAAACGGCTGCGTAAGTCCAGCGGTGATTGGTCGCATGTTTCATCGCATGACGCAGTCGCTCGCTCCTTAGGTAGAGAGCGGTTGCGTCATCGGTTTGTATAAAAGGCACTTGTTTTGGCTCGCCGCTCACTTAGCGGTTAGCCACCGTAGAGTCTATATCACCTGAGGATGCCTCGTGTAGAGGCGAAACACGTGTCGTATTATCGTCAGTGGTGTGTCTTGCCTAGTGTAGTGGTGTTGGGAGTAGCAGTGCTGGGATTAGTGGTGACGGGGATAGTGCACGCAATTGAGGGAGGGCGGGAGGTGCTCTTCATACTAGGTAAGACATCATTTTATTTTATAACGCGGATATTTGCGAAGTAAATTTTTGTAAAAGCTTTTATTCATTGGTTTGTTGGAATTATTTTCTGTTGTCTTATGAGAATTCAAAACATATTGTTGTAAGGCCCGCTTTTTTGGTAGGTTCGTCGTTCTATATCCTTATCATATCTAACATCCCTGCTAAATAAACATCCCAAATATACAAACTCATCCACTTGCTCAATCAACTCCCCGTCTATTCTTATTACACATAACGTTTTACTTTCTTCTCTTTCAAAAACCATCACTTTCGTCTTACTTGCGTTCACTTTCATCTAAATCATTCATACATAATTCATTCAACCCACTTATATTTTCCCTCAGTCTGCATTTATACTTCTCTTTCACACTTTTATCTTGTAACCTCTCTTATTCTTATACGCTGTAACGCAGTGGTAGACACAGATGTCCGATGCCGCCAACGTCAGAATAGACCATTAATTCGGCATAAGGCCAAGTAATGATCCGTCCCTACGTTGGACCCCCGGTAAACCCTTGTATCTACCACTGCGATCCTCATTATTTCATCCACAATTATGAAATCTATCATGCTTCTATCATCGCCTCTTTCCCATGTATACATGTGAATCCTCTTATGGCGAAAGAAAGTGTTCGCCACAAAAATATTCTTTTCCACACATACGGTGAGGAGGTCTTCACCATTCTCATTTATTCTTTCATCGCCAAACGTTCCTAATATCCTTTCCTAACCAGACCTCTTCACCCCAACCCTTCCATTAAAATCTCCTAAATGTCTAAGCACTAACTCCATAATTATTTTATTGTTATTAGATCCTATAAGTCGACTTTTAATTTTTATTAAAAGTTTACTTTTCTAAAAATACTGTTCACAAAGTTTTTTTTTATATTATTCTAAGCCAGTGCTTAACTACAATCTCATTTGATGGTAAGTGGTGATGTAGCCTAGGATGGTGAAGCGCACTGACTTAACAAAAGCCTATTCACGCTTGCCTGAAGACACCCACATTGTAATCAGATGGAAACACAGATGCTGGCAACTTATTCCACTTGCTGTACACATGATGAATGATGTAGCAGATGTTGGTTCGAATGTGTGGTAAGTCAACAACGAAAGGGTGGAGAGTGACAGAACGTCTGGTTGTCCGATGGTGGAAGGGAGAGAGAGGAATTAAATTATGCAATTCCTGCGCACACTCTCGAAATGCATCCTGTAGAAAACCGAAAGGCTGGCTACTTTGCGCCTGTTTCGAGGCTGGTAATATTGGTTGGATTTCTTGCGTTTTAATCTAGAACAATTATGAAATTCCTTTCCCAAAACACATGACCTCGCTCTTACAGAATACCAGCGTAAAATAACAGATTAACGTTGCTGTGTTTCATATGATGAGTGTAGAGAACCGGAGACACTTTTTACTGGAAACGAGGCATTCCATTTTAGTCCTCTAGATGTTCTTAGATGTCAATGGGCCACAGCAACCACTTACCATCAGGTGGACTCTATGCTCGTTTGTCACCCATATCACATAAAAAAAAAGTTTTTCTTTACACGATTTCATATTACACATTACATCGTAAACTAAAAGCTGAGATATACTTTAGGTAAGTGTTGCAATGGTAAAATTTCTATAAGTACCCTAGTATGACGGCTCCGTTACGCGGTGGCTTAGCAATGAGTTACAGCGCTTAGAGCCGCGGGTTCGAATCCCATACGGAACAAGTATTTGTATGGCGTAAAAATAATTGTTCCGGGTCTGAATGTTTGTCCTTGTGCGTTACGTAGTAACGTTGTTCTATTTAAAAAAGAAAAGGACGAAAAAAGTTACAAGTCAATGCCTGATGATTTTTATATTACTTCTATCAATGTTAACTATAAACACTTCCTAATACATACACGTGACTTTCATATGTTCCTTTCCCGTTCTCTCCATTTCCAGTTTGTGCAGCTTAAACAGTATGGGCGAAGGAGTAACCAGAAAGTCCCTTAGACAATATATAGAGGTGTTTGCTATCGAAGGGAACTTTGTAGCCAACTTCCCAAGGCCCTGCAATATTTGTAGAATAGAATAGAATCATTTTTATTCAATATAGATTACAGTACATAATACTTATTGAAAGTCATTTTTTTACTTTTACCGTAAATGAAGCATTTGAAGAAATAAACGAAAAACAAAAAAACGTCTCTACAACACAGTACTTTGTATGTATGAGTATATAGTTTATTCAAATTAAAAAAGATGATGTGGATTTATGGATATTGTTAATACAATCTATATATATAAAAAATCAATTGCTCTCCGTTAGTCTCGCTAAAACTCAAAAACGGCTAGACCGATTTTCCTAAATTTTTTTTGTGTGTTTGAAAGGATGGTTTCGATTCACATTTGGACCCGGTAGGTGGCGCTGTTGTCGAGTTTCTGGAATCACCCGTGCGAAGCCAGGGTAGATCGCTAGTATATTATAAAAAGATACTGTTCGTTGCGGCATGTCGGTGCGGAGTATGAGAATCCACTATCCCATGTCATTCCATGGGTGTCATAAACAGCGACAAAGGAAAAGGTAACAGACGAGCAACGGCATTTTTCTGATAAAAAGTCAAAATAACAAAAACTGCGGTTGCAAGCCCCCTTGCTAAGCGTGGCAACTATGGCAAATATTCAACATATGAGGGAATCTATGTGGGAGGCCTACGTACAGCAGTGCACTTTCATATAGACTCAATAGACTCCCTGTACAGTATCTGTTCCCTCAATCTCATAGTCTGATGCAACAGTAATTCGACACGATCGGAGAGATTAGGCGCAGGACCGGCTCTACGTGCCATACCGCCAACTTCCCGACTTCAAGCTGCTACTGGGGATTTCTTAATTAAAAATCAAATAACTGAATTTGACCCGACCCGGGATTCAGATCCGGAACCACGTGATCAGCATCGCGCCTAACTCTACTAGACCCACAAGGCAGTCCTGTAAATGAGTACTAAGCATTCAAAGAGTATTATTTTTCAAAAACTCCATTTACTATATACTATATTCATCTATTTTATTATACCTAGATTCATTTAACATACGCCAATATTTAATTAAAACCTGAAATATCTACTCTTAAACTTCTGAGTGTTGTCTGTCAACTGATGCTTTATCTACTCTAGAATTAAATAATACTTTTTTAAATTACTTAAAATAATAATTAAAAACGGTACTAACTTCCAGACACACCATCAATAACGGCATGTGAGCTAATATCAATTTATGGTTATGATTGGAGTTAATCTTCTCAGTTAAGCGTCCGCACAGAGAGTCGGCACCTAAAAATAAGCAAAGGCATCAACATAGAATATTTTAAAGCACAAAATATCTACTTATATGAGATGGTATTATTTTAAACTCTTAAATGAGGGTTAGTTTTATAAAATTAACTGTGATAAGGGTCTAAACACACGAAAAATTCTAATATTATTAGATCTCAGAAGTAATGTGTCCGTAATTAATGATTTTCTATATACCCTCCAAACTAGACACTTATAAGGTAAGATAAATGAGTAGAGAATAGTATTTATACATGTCTTTAACATCTAACTCTACATTATTCATTTCTACCTTACATTCATCGGATTTTTTTTCTCACTTTATCTAGTAAACTTCGTTCAAATTGAGGCGAATCCCGCGCGGGATGCGGGACGCGATTTGCTCGCACCGATTGCGTCAGTTAACTTGTATGGGCGTGATCACATTGGCACGAATACTCGCACGTACTGCAGCGAAATATACGCGGGATAGTGCCTGATTTTTCGAAATGCTGTTGAACCTTAAATTTCTTTATAGCATTCCTCTGGCATACGAAAATATGTATAAAATATTTTTGAAGTTATACTTCTTTTGAAGTTATACTCCTTTTGAAGTTATATTTCTTTTGGGGCGTTTGGGTAATAAGTCCATTTGTCACTTCAGTGTTCATAAAATAAAGAATGTCCCAACTAGAATGAGGAGGCGAGTCGATAAACTATAGCTTAATTATACGAGTACATATATTTAATATTTTATCAGCCCACCCATATTTTTCAGTATTATGGTCACAATAGTGACAACATTAAAAGTAAATGCCAGGATATTTTTATCAGAAGTTAAAGACAAGAAATTTTTAAACTGGAATAAATTAAAAAAATTAAACTTAAAATACGAGGGTGGATTGAAAAGTACTCGGCCTAACACAGATCCATTCAATTCTAAAAATCAAATCTACCCACATTATTTAGTTCAGTTCAGACTAGTTCATTGTGTGAAGTTCGAAACGTGTGCGATAATTAGTTGTGATTTTATAAATTTATTAACAAAGTAATCGGACATAATTTCCGCGAATGGAGCAAATCGAGCAGCGTGCCGTCATTAAGTACCTCCATAAGAAGGGGCTATCATCAAAAGCCATCCATGATGACATGGTCAGTACATTAGGCGATTGTGCTCTGTCATATTCATCCGTCAAAAAATGGATAGCAGAATTTAAGCGTGGTAGAGAGAGTGTGAAAGATGAACCCCGCTCTGGAAGGCCTTCGACGTCAACTACTGACGAAAATATTAAAAAAGTACTTGATTTAATAATGGGAGACCGCAGATTAAAAATTAGAGAGATAGCCGAGATTATAGGCATCTCTTATGAACGAACTCAAAACATCATTGTCAACGAGTTGGGTTTCCACAAGGTGTCTGCGAGGTGGGTTCCGCGACTGCTTTCAGTTGAACAAAAAAGGACGCGATTGACTATTTCACGCGACTGTTTGGAGTTATTTGAAGCCGATGCAGATGATTTTTTGAATCGTTTTGTTATTATGGACGAAACATGGGTTTATTACTGTACACCGGAAACAAAACAACAATCAAAACAGTGGAGAAGACCTGGTTCACCACCCTCTAAAAAGGCTAAGTCGATTTTGTCGGCAAATAAGGTGATGGCTTCAGTATTCTGGGACTCGAAAGGTGTGATTATGATTCATTATCTTGAAAGGGGTCAGAATATAAACTCTGATTACTACTGCACCTTACTACGTCGTTTACGAGAGGAAATAAAAGAAAAACGTCGAGAAATGCTCCGAAGAAAAGTCCTGTTTCATCAAGATAACGCCCGTGTTCACACGTCAGTACAGTCAATGGCTGAAATTCACAACTGTGGCTTTGAACTGTTACCGCATCCGCCGTATTCACCTGATCTGGCACCATCAGACTTCTTTCTGTTCCCTAACCTAAAAAAGCACTTGGGAGGTAAAAGATTTTCGACAAACGACGAGGTCAAAGCAGCTGTAGACGCATATTTTGACTCTAAGGAAGAATCATTTTTTTTCAACGGTCTAAATGCTTGGAAGGGGAGGTGGCAAAAGTGTATTGAACTTGATGGTGATTATGTAGAAAAATAAAAATATAACTGATTTAGTATTTGTTTATTTTCTTGGTTAGGCCGAGTACTTTCCAATCCACCCTCGTAATAAGTTAATATTAAAATTGAAATTATCTCTAAAGGGGTTTGAACTATGTATTCACAGTTACTGTCACAATGTACGGCAAGGTACAGCAGTGTTTTAGTAGCATACCCTGAGGATCTCGTTCCCTGCCAAAAACTCTTGAAAATGTAAGAATTAACCGGTTCAGTGCGGATGGCACGCCGGGCGTGCCATCGATTACTTTTGTGTGTGGCGTATGACACACGAGTTGTGTCTTTTTTAAAAAATCGTTATAACTCGCTCAAATTGCGTTTTTGGAAAATTTATCCAGAACAAAATATTCATTATTTTGCACGTAGCTCATGCATGCAGCTTCGTTTCTGGATATTTTGAAAATTTTAAATTTTTAGGGGTTGACAACCTTTTTTTAACTTGTACATGGTACTCTTTTTACTTTGTGGGTTTTAAATCATGTTGTGGAAAAATAGTCTAATAAGTAACAAATAATAGCACTCATTGCGATCGCTCACAAACTCAAGTTGTAAATAAATTTCTGGAAAACAAGTCTCCTGTTAAAAGAAAACAATGCGTTTGTCTTATTGCTTAATTTTGCTTAAAATGGTTGAACTGCCTTCTTATTACTATCATAGACCTACGGAGTACCATGTGCCCTTGTGATATGGTATAAGGTTTATTTTTGCTTGAAACAGTTTGAAACCGTTTATGCAAAAAAAGTTTTCTTTTTATGCATGAACGGAAAACGCCGGCGTTTGTTTCCTTTTCAAAACACTTGTTTTGCTATTCTTACTAATTAGACGTTTTCAATCCGACTTTACGTTTACATTTGTATAACATTAAATAATATTTAACATTTGTAAATATTAATGAATCATAAACCTTATTTTTTTCCCAAATTAAGATTCTTGATTGTTTGATATTTACAAATATTATTATTAGGTAAAAATTTAATTTAATAAAAACCAAGGTTTTCTAGGGTGATTTAGCTGTACCTACTTATATAAATGATTTTTTTTATAAAACAAAAAATAGTACAAAATGTTTGTAATCTCTGCATAAAAAAAAAGCCGCTTGCTCTCAATTTCAAAGAAAACACGTAGAAAAACACGTAGTTACCCACTAAAAACACGTATCCTTCTGTATGTAACTGATGTTGATGTCAACTAAACTTAATCAGGTCTAAACAAGTGAAAAAAGCATAAATAAGAACATTACTTTTACACATGGCTGATGGCCCAGGCGTGTCATGAAATATTTGTTCGCCGCCACAGCTAAAAGTTGTCGAAAATTGGTGCCCGCAACGAATCGGTTAACACCTAATGCCAAAATTCGTAACTTTATTTAAAATACAAAAATTTATTGAATAATTATAGCATCAAAACAAAATTATTCGTGTGTAAACACAAAATTACAAAATTTGTATGAACTAACAAAACTAATGACGATAATGTTATTTGAAAGGTTACTTGTACTCGCGCACGTTAATAGCGTCCCGAAACTAAAGGCCGAAAGACTAGCTAATTAGTACATTTGGCGTAAAGTTTCTAATTATTTTAACAGATTTTATTGTTTAACCTTTTATTTAAATTTCCGCTATCAAGAACAAGGAACCTTTATTATTACGTTCTGTCTATCGCTTCAAATGCAACACTGCGTCATAAATTTTTGAGTTTTTGATCGAATTATATAAAAAATGAGAATCATTATCATTGGTCGATTTTCGGACTCATTCTGGAGACGGTAGATTTCTAAATCGCATGCAGCATCTGAGAAAACGTTTTCATTCATTGATATTCGAGTTGAGAAAGATTTCTAAACTATTTTCATTTGGGACTTCCGGAATAAGCGAGGACCTACAAATCATATTTGCCAGTTGCATTGTTGCAAGACACGCATGACTGAGGTAAGAGGTTAGGCAAAAAGAGGTAGTCACATTGCGTGTGGACAGATGACGGATTCCCGAATGTTGCTAATTTCATTAGTCGTTTTCCAGTTTGCGGGTAGTACCCGCATCAACCGAATCATCGACCAATGAAAATAATGCCCTAAAACACGATATTGGCAACACACGTAAATGGTGTTGTAGTTTTACTTCATTACAAAATAAAAATACCCACCATACTACCAGGGTTAAGGTCCGGGGCATGGTGGGTCTAAAACAGTTAGGAAATAAGGTTCATTGTTATTTGGCAAAAGTATGAATGATTGTTAGTCATAAGGGGCAACTCAAACCCACAAATACAGAGATACCTATTAATATTGCTAGGGCGTTTATAAGAGCCGGTACATCATAGTCCTCATCAACTGTAAAATTATAATATGAAATATTGCTCAGATATATAAAGAATATTAAAAAGGTGTTTTCTTTAATGGTACCACATGAAATAAGATTTTTTGTAAGTAGGTACATTATGCATTATATAAAATGGAACAATTTTGCTGGGAGTCTTATGCTATGGCGTGATCGCGGAGCAGGAATAATTTCAAATTATTGCAAATCATACAAATGTGAACTTTAATAACTTGAGAATAAACTCTGTTTTCGAATCACAAATACTGTTCAACAGGTCTTAAAACTATCTTATTTGTAATAGAAATAAAACTTTATATGACAGGAATTAAGTTTAAAATTGCAAAGCAATAAAAAAAATTCTGCTCCGCGACCGTGCTTTATCTTCCTACAATGGGAACATGACATTTAAAAGTGTATTCCTAAAAATATTCGCTAGGTAATAATTATTTAAAAAGGTAATAAAATAATCCCCTCTATGTAATATTTAATATGCAATATGTAATATTGCATAATAATGACCATAAGTAAACAATATAAATTTTCTCGCACCAAAAATATTTTTGTCATCATTACAAAAAATATTGAGCAGTATATCTTTTGGCGTACAATAATGTATTAAATTTTAGATGCTTAAAATATCTATTTTTCCTTTTTATACAAACAAAATATTAGGACACTAATGGAAAAATATAAGATTAGCAAATCAGTCGAGTGATGTCACACTGCAGTGCGTCATTCAATCAAAATATGGGTGAAATAACTACTGAGTTAACATGTTTGTTGATCTAACATTAAATATTATTAAATAAAGATAGATAATAAAAAAAAATATATAGTTAATGGATATTCATGGGTAGATTTACAAATTTATAGCACAAATTACCTGTTTCATCACCAATAGCCCAAACTAACAAGTCGACGCAGGCCGAGTTAGCCATAACATTTACTTTAAACTTGTTCACTGTAGCAAAATTGCTCTCCCTATCTTCCTTCTCAGAGGCGTCGTGATGACGGCTTTGCAGTTCCGTCTGACCACTGAGGAATAAACACTTCACGAATTCCTGTAAAATACAATTCGATTATAATTACAGATGAAAAAGATATAAAATGCAAATAGTTTGTAAATGTATGAAGTTTGTAATTACGTAGCATTGTACTGCTGCATACTCCTTCATCAACATCATCGCATTTGTGATTTTGAGTACAATTTACGAATATAAGGCATTTAATCATAGTTATCAAAAGTAACAAGGCATCAACAACTTCTTTATTTGAAACTAGCTGTTCCCCGTGACTTCGCCTGCGTGGAATTTATTACAATTGGATTTCATGGGTTTTAATTTTTTGCGCAGAACCCTAATTCCTTTTCTAAAATAAAGCAGCCTAAGTTACTCCTTATAACATCAGCTATCTGCCAGCGAAAGTCCCGTCAAAATTGGTCCAGCCGTTTCAGAGATTAGCCGGAACAAACAGACAGACAGAACAAAATTTAACGTAAAAATTGTTTTTTTATTATAAGTACAAAAGTTAGTTTTTTTGTTATAAGTAACACAATAAAGCTGCAGCGTGGCTCTACCACGCATAATTCGAAGAACCGCAAACTGTGGGGACTAAAGGTTATTAAGCAGTAGCCTCGGTAAGCAAAGTGTAGGCAGGCCCCCCACTAGATGAAGTAACAATTTGGTAACACATGCAGGAAGTCAATAGATGCAGGCGGCTGAGGACCGTGTTTTGTGGCATTCCTTGGGGGGACCTATGTTCAGTAGTGGACTTGTGGCTGTAATGATGATAATGATAATGACATATCTATAAGGCTTAACAAATTAATAAATTGAACTACTAAGTTTCATAGATTAAAATATCTCACATTATGGTTCTGGATTAGTAACAATGATAAAGGCTATACTCGTATATTTAAACTAGCTCGCCAGGCAGACGTTGTTCTGCCCTTTCCAACGACCCTTCCTATAAAAATCCTTAAATTCGAAATAAAAAATTTTAAGGGTCATTTGTTGGGATAAAAACTATCCTATCTCTCAAGTTGGACCAAAATGCACACAGTGTGCAAAATTTCATTGAAATTAGTTCAGTAGTTTAGGAGTCCATCGCGGACAAACGACGTAATTTTTATATATAAAGATTACCTGAACATCTTTTGTAAATGGACCTGGTAAGTCTTTTTGATGTTGTAATATTTCCCGCAATAGAGTAACCATTACCAAATTAAGAGTTTCTGAAAAAGATTTGTACGGGAAAACCTGAAAATAAATTATATCTTTTAAACTATGCATAACTTCAATTCTTTGATTACTTATATGTTATTTATATTTCTTTTTTAATTGTGTAATTATTATAAATACTCACATTCTTGTGATCTATGGTCAGGCGGGTGACCGCAGTGATTCGTTCATTAATTACTTAGATATTGTAGAGATATTACCATAGATTTTTGTTCATAGAAGGGAAATTTCCAATAGTTGCAAGTGGTTGACTGCCTAGTTTTTTTGGTCTATCTGATCATTAGGCCAGGAATTCGAATCCCGGATCGGGTATAAAAAAATTAGTTGAGTTTTTCTGTTAAGAAATTCTCAGTAACCGCCCGGAGTCAGGAAATTGGTGGTGTTTCAACCCCGTGCTTCGGAAAGCACGTAAAACCGTTGGTCCCGAGCCTGATCTCTCTCCGATCGTATCGGTTTGCCGACCATTCGGACTACGAGAGTACGGAAATGGAGAGTGCACTCGCGCTTGCGAATTCACTCGGGCACTATAGGCCCGGCTTGTGCAGCAGCTAGTCTCTGTTGAGACGAACCGCCGTGACTGATCTTTTGTTTGGAGGACTTTATTTGCAATAGTTGCCATAATTAACAGGAGGGTAACAAACTGCGGTTGCTACCGCAGTTTTTTTATTATCTTGAGTTATCAGGAAGATGTTGTTGCCTATCTCCATCGATATATATATGTACTACGCGCTAGATTTCGCATTCCGAACATTGACTATTTTCAACTGAACTGCAATTCGTACACTAAACTAAATATTGCGTAAATTGAAAACTTGTGAATTCCATAAGATAATTATTATTACATTTTATTTAGAAATATGTTTGTTTAGATTAAAATAAGAGTATTTTTCATATTAAATTCTTATATCTAATTTCATATTAATATCTTATCTTATATTAAATTAAAGTCTTCGCGCATACGCGACTTTACAATCTCCCGCGCATGCGCGAAGACATAGAGTAGCGCACAATCTTTATTTGGAATAGCTTCTCTAGTACGTAGCACATAATAACTCAATGCCTATCTCCTATTTCATTTTTATATGATGATACTTACATATTATGTCATTATTGTTAGAAATATATTTTGCTTACTTTACTTAAAGCTTAAGCCACAACAAAATAAAGCCTCTTTTTCATCATGGATCCAGCTGGATATAGGTATTTTCAAGATCTGCCAGCAGGCGGATGAACGCAGAGCCGTGATTGTCAGACTGGTAATGATTCATCACTAGTTTGTAATAATTAGGCAATGTTATATGGACTTGGAATTGTCGAACAGATATACCCCCTATCATGAGTGCAGCGTCGCGCTTGGGACGTGCTGAGGGGAGCCCCCCTCCCCCCTAATCAGAGTCGTGTTAGCTCAGGAGCTTAGCGCTCGCTGTAAATTACGCAGTACACGAGCAACCCGTGGTCGACTCCCGCCTACACCAATGTAATCGTTAATTGCGATTTTAGGTGCTGATTTACCACGTATATTTCGAAGACATGTGAAGTCCGCCAACACGCATTGCGGCAGCGCGGCGGACAAAAACCTTCTTTTTGCCCTAAAACCTTCTCAGAAGTGAGCGGAGGCCTGTGCCCAGCAGTGGGACGTGTGTATATAGGTTGTAACTTTAACTTTTATATCCCCTATGTTGATTATCAGTTTTGTAATTTGACGAGGTTGGAATTTGGAAAAGAAATCATTACATACATCCCTTAATATTATAAAGATTCCACCTTACTAAATTAAAAAAAAATACCTGAATTTGTGCCGATGCGTAAATATCTTCGGCCTCTTCATCTAAAAACGCCAGGAGATCTTTGGTCAGCAGTTTCTTCGCCAGAGACAAAATACACTGCAGATAAGTTACATAGAATTGTACATTAATTCTCTTTTCTGGGGATTCAGAGAAACGCATATATGGAAATTGATTGAAACTCGATCCAAACTTGTTAAAGAAATAAGTAGTAGGATCGTATGGCACGGAGCTATAGCTATGAAGAGAGGATCTCTTCAGTGTTCCACCTGAGCTGTCGGTTGCGTCAGTACCATTCTCCATGTTCTCATTGTTTGGATTCAAATTCCCCGATAGGGACCGTGGTATAATTGAACGAAACTGGTTAAACTTCCTCTTTTTGTCCAATGTGGAATACTCGAAAGTTGGTTCAGGTTCTTTCGCTTTCACTGGACTTGGCGGCTGAGGAAACAGGCGACAAAGTAATGGAGGATCGACTGTCGCATATCGCCCCATAGAACGCGCCAAGCCGATTAATATTGGTATGGTACTCTTGCAGAGTTGTAATTTTGATATTGTATCTTTATAATCTTTGCTTTCATGGCAACTCATAATAATTTTTGTCAGGTTGGACATTAACTCTATTTGCGCTGTGATAATCTCCTCGCGCAGTGACGGCCGTTTTGAAGCAACATCAGAAAGTAATGTGTTAAGGCAGAAACTAAATTTTTCCGCCATTGGTATACCTGAAAAAGAAGTTTCTTTAATTTTTACATTTTTATTCTTAGCTTAAAAAATGGGTTCATGTTTAACCTTTGTGGCTGTCAATCATTTTTCCATACTAACGTAGGAGAGTGATTAATGAACCGTTTGATAATGTATGTCCAAAAATTAGCATGATATCGACTTGTCCCAATTTTATCTAGGCTTGCACATAAAAAGAACAGTAAATAATATTATTTGAAAGTTAGGGGCCTGGTCCGTATTTCAACACTAATTTTAGCTCAAGTTTAAACATAAATAAGTAACATCAAAAGTATAAAAATTCCAAAATATTTTGCATACAAGCATAGTCTGCTTTAATCAAAAGTTTAAATATTAGGCGGGGAAAAAGTTTCTTCGTATTTTATATACAAATTCAAGACATTATTTTTTCAAAATTAAATTACATTTAATTATTTATTTTATTATATATGTGCCATTTTGTTCGATAACTTCATGTCATCTTGTAGGTAGTGACATAATCCCGTTACTGTAGAAATCTTAGGATTTTTGATCAAAAAAATTCGACAAGTAGTTTTGACAGTCCTCTCTTGATGTTAACCTAACACTACCCAAAGAGTTCTGAAGAGACCGAAACAGGTGAAAATCTGAGGGTGCAAGGTCAGGACTATATGGTGGATGCATTAACACTTCCCAACTAAGTTCTCTCAAGTTTTGCTGAGTGGCCAAAAATGTGCGTGATCTAGCGTTATCATGATGAAAGACCACTCCTTTTCTCTTAATCAATTCTCGAAGTTTTTTCTCAATTTCTTACTTGAATCTAATTAGTTGTTATCAGTAGAGATCCGAATCAATGGTTTTGCTCGGTGGTAAAAGTTCATAATAAATGATGCCCTTTCCATCCCACCATACACACAGCATCATTTTATTGCGTGTTAATCTAGATTTCGCTACAGTCTGTGGAGCTTGACTACCCTTTGACAATGACCTTTTTCGCACATTCTTGTCGTAGGTGATTCACTGTTCATCACCAGTGATCAATCTTTTCAAAAATCAATCTTTCTCTATTGAGTCGTTTCATTACGTTTCAAAAGAGAATCGCAAATGAGTACACAATTAATTAGGTGTCTTTCAGTGAGCTTGGTACCCAAATATCGAGCTGCTTTGTATAGCCAGACTTTTGCAAATGTGTCAAAACTGTTTTGTGGTCAATCCTTAATTCCTCGGTTATGTCGTAACCACTAATATGCCGATCTTGCTCCAGATCTTGCTTGCTTTTTCAAAAATAGCATCGACTATCTGTATGACCAGAGCAAGCTATTTGACATCAAAATTCCTGGACTGAAAACGTTTCAAGCAACTTTGTGCTACTCTTACTGACACTGTATTAGGTCCATAAACGACACAAATTTATTTCGCGGCTTGACTAAGAGTTTTCCCTTTTTTGTAATAAAACTTCTCCTTTTACTTTACTTTCATCGAATTTCTAGAAAAACAATTGAAAAATGACGGGAAAGTATTTTTTAATTTTTATGTACATGTATTGATATTAAAACCAGCTAGATGCAAACAGTACAACTAAAGAGATTTTTCTTCAATTTTATATGAACAAAATACGAAGAAACCTTTTCCCGACCAACATTAATTTTGAAAAAATACATTTAGCAGATTTTTCATAACAACACTTCTTTGAAACGGTCTAAACGTAAATTTTTACTCATATTTGATACAAATGTTAGTGCAATATTCCACTCCGCATGGGTAGTGGAGTGGAATATTGCACTAACTTTAGGAGCTTTGTATTTATATAATGTTTTGAATTGTTTTGTTGTGAAATTTGTGACGGCTCCGTGGCGCAATAGCTTTGCATTGAGTTGCGGCGATGAGGTCAACGGTTTCGAATCCCGCACGGAACAAGTATTTTGTATGGCCTACAAATATAGTACATATATATAAACCGCCACCACGATACAGGAGAAAATCATGGTGTGGGGGTAAAGTATGCTTTAAAAATTTGACTGATTTAAGTGTTTACTGCTTGTGCAGGACTTTGAATTCCGACTAAATTTCCTTTATTAGGTACTAGCGGTTCGCCCAGGCTTTGCAAGGGTGACTTCTGGATATCGACAATAGAGCCACCTACCGGTTCTAATCGTGAATCCAAACCATTTAGGGACCCATTCAAAAACATACAAAAAGAATATTCTGCCCAAGTTTTAAGCCTATAAGAGCTATAGTTTGAAAATGTCTTATTTTTTTTAATTAAGGCCCCAGCAAACCCCCTTGCGGGTGGAATTTCATAAAATTCGTTCTTACCTGACCTCTACTCGGCGAAAGGAATATTCCTACCAAATTTCAGGTCTCTAGACTAGTCTCTAGTAAAGTTCCAGAGATATCGTGAGTCAGTACATAGGTAGAAATCTCTTATAAATATAGATTCATCCATAAGTCCTTATATTTGTATATTATGGCTTTCAGATACAGCCACAGATTAATTCCTATTAGTTACTACGTCACAGACACGTCGTTCAATTGTAAGTCACTCAAAAATGTGTCTTAAGTGTGTGCATTAGCATTGTTATTAACGCTAAGCTGTAAGGTGATGGATGGTGTACACAACAGGACAGTGTAGTGTTAAAGGGTTTACTGGGATCGAACCCGGGTTGCTCGTGTACTGTAACATTTACGAGCGTCACTGAGCTAGACAGTGTAGTGTTAAAGGGTTTACTGGGATCGAACCCGGGTTGCTTGTGTACTGTAACATTTACGAGCGTCACTGAGCTACTAAATTAATTTGGTGATTTGGTACCTAAACTGGTGTCAGTTAAAGTTACAAAATAAACATCTCTTACTTGATGAAATTTTTGTTTTATCACTTTTAATTTTTCCTTTTTTATGTTTAATATTTCATTTTCATAATATCATAAAATTAGTTTTATTCAATCATATTTATTCAAATCAGCTGTATTCAGGTATATATAAGAAAACAATTTGTGAACTCTTGCATCATTAGCCTGGCCCAGCCCACACAGTATTTTATAACTAAAAACAAATCTTTGACAACATAAAGAACAATCTAAAGAAACATGGTGTGTGATTTATCGAGTTCGCCATCGTTTACAAAGTACGGAAGTGTGTGCATGCACACTACTCTTTGCTGCTCTTTACTGTGTCTATCCCTTTATCACACAACATGGGTAATACAGTACACATATTAACCCTGAATTGACCTGTGATACCCTGAATAGCGCACTGATATGAGCTTATGAAAATGAATATTTCCTTAGAAAATAATATATTATTAACAAACTTTACATTATTTCCTTAAAATTTAAGAAAGGTTATTTTTTTAATAAGGATGCTTTCTTTATCTTGATTTAAAATTTTGTTTCATTTGTCTTTGTATTATTATACTAAAACAAAAGCAAAATGTGGTACTTTCAATCATCTATTAAATCTTTAGCAAGCATGCAAAGTTTATAACTGTAAAAATATACAATTCTTGAAAATATTACAGCTCAAAAGAGCAGGGTCAAGTGGCACTGCAAGGCCGCCTATTTTGTATGGCCTACAAAAACTTGTTCCAGGTTTAGATGTTTGTTCATGTACAATATATGTATGTCAAACGTCTTCATGATATATAGGAGGAAATCCTACTGTAAATTTAAATTATAAAAAAAAAAAAAACTGCTTACGGTCAACAGACTTAATTCTGTATAAGGGTTCCTCAAACTCTGCATTAGAAAGGCATTTTAACACTTTCAGAAAGTATGGGAGCAATTTATCATGATGCTGCAAACCACTCTGTAGAAAATATAAGCCCAAGGCTATAATTGCTTCTTGACTGCGCGAGGTGACAGACAGGGAGGAGCTTGCTTGTGGGCACAACATAAATAATGTATTCACCTGAAAGTAATTGTTCAAGTTAAAAAAAATATTTTTCATTACAGTTTCGGTTTGTTTAAAATTTATTGAGTTATAGGCACACTTGTTCTCACAATTCTGAGCAGATTTTTGATTACTTTTACTTTAGATATATTAATGATAAGCAATTATTTTTACATAAACAAAGATTTTTAGAATGATATTTAATAATTTTAGATAATAAATGATTACTAATTCATGCTAATAAAATATTTTGTCCATCTACAAAATATTTTATAAATCTTTTATTAATACTCTCATGCTGGAGCTATATTATGGTTGTAGCACAAATGGATCGGCAAAACTAGGGGAAGGACCACTCTCACAGGGTACGTAAAATAGCAACTTAACATTGATATGTTTTGTTTCGTAAGACTTTATATTATATTAGTTGTGCACCTTGTATTTTGTAAAAATACAATACATCTAGATTTAGATATCTATGGGTCACAGCATTCACTGACCATCAGGTGGACTGTGTGTTCTTTCATCAACCTTGTTCTATAAAAACAGTATAGATTATTTTAGTCATTATAAATAATACTCTTTTCTTATGTTTTCATTATCTTCTTTCTAAATATTTATTTGTACATAGGTCATCACAATATGTATGTGGAAGGATGAAACTTCTTTTTTACACATCAATAACAGGTACTGTCTTTTCAAATGATAAGTAATATATTCATTATAATATATAAAAGTTATTGTGGATGTATAATAAATAATAAAAAGGACAATTTTCAATGATCACATGTTATTATAATTATTTTATACAACAAAGATTTATAATATAATTTGGTATAAAATGAAATTACTTTTTCCGTTATTTTTACAGCCTATCAAAAATACTCAACTGTATATAGTCCTCCGCCATAGATTGCCTCATAAGGGGATATTTGCCATAGTTGCCATCCTAGGAATATTGTTTACAATGAAGTTGATTTACAATCTCAGATTTTTATTTTTTACACACATTAATAGAATCAGGTGTTACTTTGCGGAAGTCCATTATATTAAAGTTGGTAAAAAATTACTTTGCATACATCCGCTTGATAAAATAAAATGTATTGTCGTCGGTGATGTGTGTGGTGCGTGGTCTTTCCTAATGTAGTGGTGTTGGGAGTAGTGGTACTGGGATTAGTGGTGACGGTGATAGTGCACACAATTGAGGGAGGGCGGGAGGTTTAAACTAGATAAGACACATCATTTTATTTTATCGAGCGGATGTACGTGAAGTAATTTTTTACCAACTTTAATTTTTTAGACGTTATTAGAAAGGTGCTGCTGCACATTTCCTGATTTGTTTTTTTCTTCATAGACTAATTTTATTTATATATAATTTTAATTTTGATTTAAACAAGTCCTTCACAAAATCTCTTAAGTTGATAGCAGTTCCCACAGGCTTTGTATGTGAAATAGATTATAAAAAGGCAAATCTAGTGTTACCCATGTTGTACATTGATATACAATAGAGCATGTGAGGCTGCAGATTGGGTTAATGTTTAATTGCAGTTATATGAAAATGAAGCTGTAAATCACATTAACAACAATTAGCCAAGTTATTCAGATTGCAATCTGCAAAAAGTTCAATCAAACAATGGTAATGAGATAGATAAAGTTACACTAATAGCATCTGATTCATCTGATTTGCTTTTCATCATATAACAAGGGGTGTCTTCAAGGCAAGAGTAAATAGGCTTTAGTTAAGCTAAATCAATCTTCAGCTATATCACCACTTACCATCAGGTAGGTAAACACTGACTTATAATAGTTAAAAAAGAACTGCAATGTACAAGCTTAAGAATATGGAAGAGCCACAATATCACTAAAGTCTCTGGGATCCCAAATAGTTCAAAAACAAAGCTTACCCAAATTTTTATACTTTGCTGAGACATAGATAGTGTGAAAAATAGAAAAAAAAAACAAGTAGAAGCTCTAGAAATGAGGTTCTAGAATTTAAGTGTTGCAATATTGTAAATAGACTTTTGTTAGTTAATTAGTACAGAAGAATGAGTATAAACAGAGAATGATGGTGAGATCATGGGGTGAGCCACTTTTGATTCTACATTTTTTTTCAACTTATCATTCATTCAGTCAGTGCTTAATTACCATCTTACCTGGTGGTAAGTAGTGATAACCACAAGCACTAACCGACACTATGAAAACCTGTTCATAAAGCATATTTTTTCAGAAGGAGAAAAAACCTAGGAAAATATTTCCCGCATTAAATATACAGTTGCTAAGTAGATAAAAATCATAATTCTGACTTATGTCATATGATGAGATCATTACCAAAACAAAACAAATCACGACGTTATTCGATTTCTTCTATTTTAAATGCGTTCACTTCAAAGCCGAGCTACTATTATGATATTCCTAAAGCAACCTTTCGATTTCTTTCGACACAAACACTTTCATCATTGAAATAAGCAATAAATGCGAGATGTAAAAATACCAACCTTTTCCCATGGTGTCGGATTCAAGCAGGACAAGCATCGGGCAAGATGTTGAACTGTTTGCCTAAAGAAGTCGTGTTCGTCCATCGTATTTATTTATCTTGTTTCGGCGTAATACATTTTATAATTTAAAAATTAAGAACAAAATCTAAAGATCGACGTCCCTTCTGACTTCATACTTTTTGACAGATAAGTTTGTCAATAATAAGATACGTTTCACGCATGAAATTTCCATTTTGACAGGTAAATTTTATGTTTGGTTAGCTTTGACTAGTTTTAATTTTTAATCTCAATTTAATACATTTATTCAATATATACAAATATACAAATGTTATATTATTTTTATATATACAAATGTTATATTATTTTTATTACACATAAATAAATGAAGGCATAACACAAATTTTTCCTTGGCTTCTTTAATTAAAATGGAACATTATGCATACATGTTGCAACATATATTGTAAAGCGCCTTAGTCACGGTCCAGCTTGCTGTGCGTCCCACCACGGTCATGCACATGGGCATGCAACTTGAACATTATTTTACAAACAAAATGATACGTTTTATGTGCTTCCATTTACATTCCGAAGCGTTAGGCTAGACTTATTTTAATCTCACTAGAGGGCAAACTTATATATTAAGTCTATGCATACGCAATAATCCATGCGCACTACGCAGTTAGCAGTGGTCACTGGTAGTTACGCTTAAATTGTTATTAATATTTATTGAACATTATTCTAATTTGTCGTGCGTTGCATGTGTTTTCTTTCATAATAATTAATTTTTCTTACATAGTAACTAATATTTCTGCGGCCCTGTTTTGTTTTTGTTTAAAAATGTCGCGAAAACAATGTGTTTTTAAATGTGACCAATTTGGTAAGAATTTTAGTGTGCAGGGGGTTTCGGGGGCGATAAATCGATTTAGCTAGGATTTATTTTTAGAAAATGTCGATTTATCTGTGTTTTCAGGCAATGAAAATCTGCTAAAATATCATTAGAGTACGAAGGAAAATTTCGCCATTATGTACAAGGTATTATACCTTAGCCTATAGCTCAGGTGAGAAATCGGGCGGTCCCGAAACCAAAATACCCCAGTTCGAGTCCAGATGTGTTTATTTTTTCCCTTTTTTTTCAAGTTCCTTCTTTTGTAAGAATTAAGCGCCATCTGTTAGGCAGACACGACGCAATATCAAAAATTAAATTTCAGTCGCGCATCTATCTCTAGTATACATACAGTAATCTTTGGTCATGCACGACGCACGATGCAAAACGACAATGAGTAGGCTTGACTTAATTATAATTAATTCCTTGCTGGACACGGGTTCTCGAAGGAAGGCGAACTAGTTTCTCGCCAATTATGTCTATGTGCTCTGACTTTGCCTTGGCAATGACTCTTTTGAAGGACCTGGAGGTGGAAATTATACTTCTTTTTAAGGGCGCTGGTGTTTAACATCGGGGGACGTTGATGTGTCAACCCAAGCCCGGTAGCACTCCTGCTCGTAGGGTGATACTATTTTACAGGAGCGACTAAAGTAATATAAAATATAAAGTCGAATATAAAGTTTCATACCCTGAAGTACCACATTAGCAACAGAATTAGCAACAACCTTGGGATCGTCTGGTGAGAAGCCAACCCCAACCCCAAAAGCAACCCCAAAGGTAGGATGCAAAGAAAGATCGCATCCCATCCCAACTGGCCGGCACGGCGTATAGTGCCAAACACCGCGGCAGTCTGCAGAAAGCAAAAGCGACTTCAACGTGAGTGACACCATACTCCGGACTAGACAATGGTACGATGAGCCAAGAGAAAGAAAAAGTTTTAATCGAAATCTAGCACTTCAATAATTAATTTAATTAATTATTTTAATTTATATAACTTATTAAGTTGCTTTTTGGTGAAATGTTGCCAACAATTAAAATAGAAAAAAAAAAACAGTTTTAAAACTAATTATGACTTCAATAGATTTGGTAATACTAAGAATCAGTAAAGTAAATATAAAAGTAGAAAATTAATTTTCTTTGCAAGCCGTACTATTTAAGTGACAGTTGAATAATCGCGGTCAGTCGATATCATTGACGAAGAATAGGAACATTCTTATTTGAATCTCATTGTAACAATTAAAACTAGTGAGATGCGCGAAGTAAAGACTGTGTAAGAATCTCTGAAGGAGGCGGTGTTATAGCCGAAATAAGAATTTTTAATTTTTTGGTTTTTGGCCACTTTGACCCCCTAGCTGTGTAATGAGAACTTTTTGTCCCTATTCAACCATGACCTCCATCACGTCCTCTACATGATAGGCTATTCAAACTGACTAGGCCTAAAGTTCGAGTCATCCTGCAAAATTTCTTTACTTCCAATTACTCCCAACAATACACGCACATCGATAGATATGTGCATTACAATATTACTATCGCTGCGGCCTCACTACAATAATATGGCAATAATTATTATTAAAAAAAATATGGTCAAAATTGAAACATCACCTAGGTGTAGCCACAATTTATGTTCATAATTTTTACTATGTCAATCAATATGGCATATGACGGTAGGCAACAGTTCCAGTTGCGGTTTTTTTCGCATATTAAAGACAAATATCGCGATTTGTGATAAATTATGTGCAGAACGTCCTATATACCAATTAATATTAAATAAGTATTGATTTTAAAAACAGTTTATTTCATTTTTACTCAACTAATCATTATTATTTTATATTAAAAATACTATAATATGGGATTACAATATGCAATCAAGGATCTCCATCCCACTTCCATACATTTGTTTACTGTACAATATTATATTATATTTTATTGTATAATATAAAACAAAACGTTTGGGTGTGTACTTATGTACGCACGTAAGACGTTATACTTCTTTAGCGTAACAAACAAAAATAACAAAAATAAAACACGTTTTATACATTCATATATATTTGAATAACTACTTCGAATATAGTTATCAGTTCTCACGAAAACTTAACAATTGACAAACAATCACCAATTGAAGTTGTAAAAAATTCACTCTCATCATTTTTCTCAAATGCGCCAAATAAAGTATAACTTCAAAACTTAAGTAAGCATTTAGCACACTCAGAACATTGTTTAAAACAAGTTGCAAGTTAGCTGCCTGCATACTTATCTCATTGTTTGACTGTGTACCTAACACAAAAAAATCTTTAGCAGTGTGCACTGTGTAAGTGTACATATGCGTGAAGCCTCGTGAATCAGCTCAAGCAAAATTTAAGGGATAGCAATCCAAAACTAATTTAACAACCCAACAATATCCATTGCTTCATATGATTAAAAAATTCGTTTGCTCAACAACAAAAACCACGCAATGGATGTTGTTAAACTGTCAAATTGATATGGTTTGCCATTTTAGGTGTGTTACGCAATTAGGCTACGGATTTAATTTCTATAATTATATGAAATAAGAACAAAAACATATTAGTAAAAATATCGATATCAGCTGCCCATATTGCTGAGTCACAACCCTATAAAAGGCGGCCATTTTATGCGCCAGATGTGTTTAGGTAGTCACGCTAATTTTGTAGGTATGCCCAGTCCATATACTTCTAAGTCAGTGGATAGTGTGGCCGTAGCATCAGTGACAGCGACAACTCGGATACAGACTCGGTTCAGTCGTCCCACCGATCCTCATATTGTATGAGGGCGAGTGGGCTGTGTTAATAAACAAGTCCGAAACAGCAGAACCGTTATATTATTGTAATTTTTTAAGTTTAAAAAGAAGTAAATAGCAATAATGTGATTAAAAATACATATTATATGAAAGGCAACGCCATCTTTTTGTAAATTTGACTTGGCAAATCTTTTTTTGCAGCAAAAAAACTAAGCAATTCAGCATTTTTGTAGGATATCGATTCAGCGCGCAACTAGATTTAGTCTAGTGAGCCTCATCTACTTTTTATAATGTTAGTACGGTTAGCTTAATGGATTTTACAGCTTTATCGGACTCAGGCAAGATAATTTGGAGGCCGTACAAACTATGTTTGGGCGGGGGCGCGAAGGCTATGCTTGCGTAAGATATGATAGGTCTTACGCACGTTTTGTAAAGATGGAGCTTGTGTCTCAAAGATAGTTTGCTCTTGCTGTAAAATACCGGCTGGAGGTGACTAGTAACGAATTGGTCCGTCGGTTGCGCACATTGAGACCTTATTTGTTTGAAGTTGGTTACAGACGTCCGTGAAGGGGTTGCATCACCATCTATTTACACTTTATATCATCAGGTGGAGAGCTAGCTTACTCGTCACAGAAATATTAAATAAAAAACTCATTTAGAGTATTATTTTGGAACAAACTTTAAACTGGACTACATTTAGAAAATGGAGTGGGTGAAAACTTTCGGACCACTTTGCAGTCGGATAGGTTTCGTACTCTGATGCTGTACTCGGATAGGCATAGTGGCCCTACCGTACAAAACCGAAGAGTAGATACAATCTGCCACCACAGAGTACTTATAAAAAACCCGAACACCCGTAATAAAAGAAAGTATTTGCCTCCGTCGAAACTTGGGCTGTGCTACGAGTACAGGTCCTTCAGCGGTGTCTGTTTGATTGTTGGTTTATGGAAGTTGTATTAAGTGACAATAAATGAATCACCACTTTTTTTAGTCAAAAACCTTGTAGGAAAAAACTGTACAAGGTTTTTAAGATCGTTTTCATACTGTAACTACTCACATAATTGTGTTGCGATTAGCGTCTGTTTTAAATAACACGCTCAAAACTCACATTGTTAACTATAGAGTGAATATATTTTTTTAGAGAATAAATATATAGGATATTAGGTATATATTATATAGGACACTAATTGCTTACTTTGTATTGTAAAAAGCTAAATTAACCTGCTAAACAATACCTAGCATAAATTGCGTCATATAATTTTTATTTTACTTTTTATTTTATTTATTAAGGTTTACCAATGTTTGATTACACTGTATTTAACAAAATGGCTTAAGAACTAACTTATGTGAATAAGTGTAACAATCGTTTAAGGTAAATACCACATGCATCGAGAAAGATTATAAATACGAATAAAAAGAAGTATAATTACCTAATAAAATTATTATATA